AGTAATATTACTGTAGATACTATATACCAAATGTCCTCCATATTTGTTAATTTGCAATATGAACCTTCAAAACGTTTTTTCTACTCTGCTAAGTTTTCCATGTAATTATTTTTTATGTTGCACAATGTAATTTTCTCTGAGTGTATTTTTTTTTCGAAATATTGAAATGTTCTTCTTCTATTGGGCCAGATATCATTGGGGATATTCACTGCATAACACTTAGAGCGATAGTAGCGAAGAGCAGATGCATTATTCTTCCAAAAAAAATAAAGAAAACGCTTTAGCTGACTGGCCGGACTTGCCATTGGGTGAGAGATGCACCACTTTAACCCAAACAAATAGCCAACTTTATTCTGAATTTTCATTCTACAACTCTAACTTGGTTGGTATGTGTTTTCTCTATAGGTATGTATTTGTGTTCGGCCCGAATACTCCCCGCTTTGCTTGGTGCAGGGATTCACCACAAGACTTTGCATCAATTGAATGGTATTCGAAACGAATTGATTTTGACTGGGCAAATACGAATTGCAGTTTAGTTGTTGAATTAAGCAAACGACAGATTAAACATATTAAACGTTGTTGTTGTTGTTGCCATTGTTCATTTGCCTTGTCGAAGACGTTACCATCAACACAATTTCCAATTTCATTTGAATTCAATGAATCCAAGCACCAAACTACCTTGCCAGCCAGTAAGACATCCAGCTAGCTATAGCTGCTATTCCAACAAGAGCGATGAATGATTTTGATGTGTTTTTTGTTGTTTTTTCTTCCTGAATTAATGTAAAAATGCTTAATTGTTGTTGTTCGTTAGCTTGTTGCTGTTTTTTTTTTTTCTTTCTTTGCTGTTCTCAATGCCAAATTAATGGTCAATCTGTGTCGGATTAAAACGGAAAGATTGAATTGGTCGCAGAGGAATGAATCCCAAATGGGGTGACCTTTTTATTTTCCATAATTAGAAAATTAACTGGAATTTGATATCATCAAGCCAAACGAAAAAAGGGGCAAAGCTTTTAATAATAAATGCTTGTTTACCCATGTAGGCGATAAAATTGTTACAGGATGTTAAAAAAAAGGGGTAATGGAACGGTCAACAAGTTTTACTTGGGTATGAGAAAAGAAGTTCAACTCTAAATTGGAACAGGCGATTGGGCAAACAGAATGACCTAAATATAAAGACTTAAAAAATCTAGTACTTTTAATTTTTTTTCGAACTTTTTTTTCTAGAAACCCGTCCTTGCACCCAAATTACTTATAACATTTGTAGACAAATTGCAGAGGAAAACAACAATAATCAGAGATGCCAACTTCGTGGTTTTCTCGCTACTTGTGGTGATTTTTGACGCGCAAAAAGTAATTTTTAAGAGTTGTGACGTTTTTAAATCCCTACAACAGAGACTTTAGCTGATTAAGGTAGCGGTTGTAGTGATTTTTACGCAGCATTAGGTGTGTCTGGTTACTTTCCAGCAACTTCTTTCTGAGAGAGTAAGATAGTTTTATTCTCTTTTGCAAGGAAAATGCGAAAAGTAAACAGACGGTATTCCTGCAGAAGCTAATCAGCTGGTTTGTCAAAACAAACTAATTTGTCCCCCATTAAAAGAATTAAAAGATGGGAAGCACCACCAATTTTACAAAGTTTTATAAATAAAAAGGAAATTAGCAATAAATTTTAATGTTTTTTTATATTTTGTAAAGTTGTTCTCCAAAACCAATTAGTCTTGTTAATTCCAAAAAAAGTATTTTCAAATTGAAAGCACAAAAGGAAATAAACAAATAATAGAAAACATCTGATTGAATGTCGATAAATGAGAAGAAGAGTTGCAAGTGATTTCAAGAAGAAATTTGTCCAGCAAGAATTTGCAAACTCTCACTAAAAGAACTGTCAAAATTTCTCTCTCCAACCGCTCTCTTTTGCAGAACATTCGGGTTAACAGACGACTTCCAGTAACAATTTGTAACAATTATTACAAATTTTAGGGTAACCAGACACACCTATTTTTTATTGCCATCGCTTTTTAAGCACATAAATAGCGATCTTTATATGTAGGAACTGAATTAATGTATGGAAATTATTATGAAAGAACATTTAGCATTATGAATTCTTTTAAAAACAAAGTCAAAAATCGAAACCTATGCATTCTTTAATTCATATAAAATAAGAATTGAAGAAGCAAACGATTTACCTAAGAAAAACTAAATAAAATGTGTACGATAAAAAATTACAATAAGGCGTATAAAAAATCAGAATTTTGTTTTCAGGAGAACAAGAATATATAAAAACATGAAAACATGTCTATTTTTGTAAAAAAAAAAAAATTGTTTTTGTTGAGCCTGTAAGAATTTACCAGTTTTTCAATTTTTTTCGATATTATAAAGTATCGGTTATCGTAGCAAAAATGTAAACATTCTTGCAATTCTTAAACAGAGCACTTGTTTAACTTTTGTCTTTTTGTGTTTTGTCCTCAAGCCAATCATACATGTTGTAATAAATATATTTTTTTTTTTTTTTTTTTTGAAATTTTCGCTTTAAGTTTTTATTAATTTTTTACATTTGGGTATTAAGTGTCTTCGGCAATATTACGGAAAACAATATGAGTACAATATAGTACATGAAACGCTTTTTTGACTGGCTTGAGTCATCGGTTGAGGAACAAAAAAGTTTTAGGTTGACTTAGTTCGATTTTGGCTTTGACATAAACCAGTCAAAAAAACCTAAAATCTCAGCTAAACTCTAGGAAATTTTAAAATAGTCTCCTACAAATCACCATCTGATTGTTAAAGTCATCAAAGAAAAGAAATCTCGTTTTCCATATATCAAGAAAATTTTTGTATCAATATTGCCAAAAAAAAAAAAAATGTGAAAATATTTCCTATTATTTTTACAATATTTCCTCGCTCGTTTTTATGCAGGTTTCAGGCAGAGAGCATGGTACAATAAAACAAATGTAACCTAATTTCAAATTAGCATTCCCAGCTCTGCAACAATTTTGCTTTATTATTTTTTTATTTTCGACAAATTTTGTACCTCTAGTAGAATTTCATTACACATAATTTAATGGAGTTCATAACAATTTTTGGAAAATATCTACGAAAAGCTACCAAAGGAGTAAAAACACTCGTTTGAGGGTTAACATTTTCGACCACAATTATGCTCGTTTTGTTATCTGTAGTACTTTCAAAGACACATTATACCCTTAAAACTATTTTTTTTTTCTTTTTTCTCATCTTTAACCCCTTCTGTTTAAATTTGTAACGGAAGAAGTGTAAATATGTTGTTTTTGTCATTAAAATAACATTATACGACTTTACGCCACAGTGCGAACAACATTGCGACTAAGTCTTACGTATTTTATGTTTTTGTTTATAAAACGTAACGTAATTAGCAGAGGCATAACCCTTATAAATACCCATATGTGTCATACTATGTACTTCTAGATGGCGCAATATATAAAATGGCTCCAGATGGCGCACATATCATTCACAGGGTGTACATATGACAGCTAAAACCAATCAATACATACACATATTTCCCATCCACAAAAAGGTACCCCAGCCAACAGTTTTTGACATTTTAGTCAAAATCGAATCGCAACAGAATCAAGCGCTAATTAAAAGCTGGAAAATTAGCTATTTTTTCTGATCATAAAGATATGTAATCTTCAGCGACAATTCTAAACAAATCACATTTGAGCCTGAGACATTAGTCATCATCGATATTTTTCGTTTATTGGTCATTTATTGAGCTATTTTCGCTCAATTTGTGAATCTCTTTCGAGTCTTTTTAAAGTCATGTTTATGATCGTATACGATCATAAGTACCTTAAGGTGTGAATACATAAAATAATTTTTTGACTGGCTTAAGTCATCGGCTGGCTTCTTCGTAAAGGAACAAAAAAGTGTAGGGTCGAAAATGAACTAAGTGGACCAAAAACTGCTCTGTTCTTTTACGAAAAAGCCAACCGATGACTCAGGTCAGTCAAAAAAGCGTTTTAATCATTTTCACTTTTACAATGGAGTTATGGAGATCGTGCGATGTAACGTCTTTATATTTTGTTCAAAAAACCTAATATAGAAGCAATTGATGTTGGAAAAAAGTGTTTTACACGAGGAAAATAATGCATCTTTCAATATATTTTAATGAGGCAATATATTGTTTATTATTGGAGCCATGGTACAATACTAAAGTACAACAGCTTTGTTAAACTGAAGAAATACAACCCTGAGGGTATGCCTGTATCATGTCAGAATTATTCAAAATTATATGCAACAAGTTGATTTTATTTATTTCGTATTTTTTACCTCATTTTAAAAATGAGTGAAAGTGCGCGAAAATTGGATCAAATGCCTGGAGTTTTATTCAAAATATGAACTTACATTTTCAAACTTTCAATTCCATGGCAAAACTGGTTGATACCTTTAGTGTACGCCCCGCAATACATGCTTCTTCCAATCATTATTTTTGAAAATATTTTGTTTTAATTTTTCAAAAAAATGAATACACTTTGTTAAAAATTGTGATCAGCTGGTGGCTCAACCTTAAATGTAAAGAACGCTTTTGCAGAAAGATTTGCGACATTGAAGTGTACTATACCTCCAAATATTCGGATTTTTTATGATTTGTAACATACTTTTCACCGGAACAACTTCAAAGTTGGTACTTGAAGTTCGGGTTTTTTTTTTTCTATCATTGGTGGAGATGATATTGAAAAAAGGCCAAACTTTAGATTCTTGCTTATGCTGGTACAGGACATATTTCTTATATTAATATCAGTAACCATTGTGTTTCTGTTCAAATTCCCATAAAAATGAAGAAGCCAAAAAGTAAGAAAAACAATTGTGGTTTAAATTGCAGTGAGAACATGACATTAATATATCGTTTCTATTTCTGCTTTAGTACTGGTATTTCGATACTCCCTCTTCAAATAAAGTATCGATAATATCGAATGCCATCAACTGTTTACCAGCTCTAAAACAGACGGAACTTTGTGAAAAATTGTCAAAAGAGAGAGAATTAAAATAAAATTAATTATTAAAATCGAAACGACTAGATCTAATTAATTTACTAGCAAAAAATACGAATAAGAATAACTTAAAGAATAGAAAATAAATTTAAAAAGAGTTCACACAAACATGTTTTCTAAAAATGTTTCGAGAAATGTTTAACATTAAAAAGTGAAACGAGAAAAGCAAGCAAATACAAAACAAGAACGACCAAGTTGCCTGGCAAAGAAATACGAAAAGGGGCACAACTAAAAACAAAGAGTGTAAAGTTCGCACAGCAGTGTCTGACTGACGTCGAGGCACAAGGTGTTTTTGGCGTAGCGTACCTACGTTCCGTTCCGTTTTTCGGTTTCTCTTTATTTTGGGCAAACAAAAGTCTTGCCTTTTCTTTATTGGGGAAGGCCTTTAACCTTTGTTAGCATTTGCCATTTGGTGTCTAATTATAGATCAATTCCCTAGGGATTGGAATGTTTTGTGTATAGTTTCCTATTGCCAAACCACTTTGGGAATCGGGAAGTGCAAAGCACTCACAACATTATCATTTCCAACAAACTTCGACCAAAGACATACCCTCCAAACCAACTGAAGTAGAAGAAGAAGCATTCCACATTGAGACTGCACTGAGAATTCCGACACTGTCTAACAAAAAAAAAATACTACTACCAACTATTTATTACTACGACAACTCATCGCACTGCACTAGAGGGAAGACCTTGAGAGATCTGGCTTATGGTTGCAAATAATCGCCAAATCGCTCTGATTGCCGTTTGCCGACGTTCATTTATGATTGTGCAAAATCACCATCACCAGGCAGCCTAAGCAAAATAGCCGACAACAACGTAAACGTAAACACTCACACACATTGGGTTTGTGTGTTTTGAAATTATTATTATTGTTGTTTTTATTACACATCTAGAAGCTGGTGTGATTGTGATTTTTGTCTTAACTCAATAATTATCATCAGCTGGAAATTATCGTAACTCTAAAGCAGAGTGGAGGTAACGGGAAGAAAAGTTGCCTACCAAACGTATTAGCAGCAGCAACAAATCTGAAACAGTTACCCTAAGCCGACACAATGTCAATACGAACCAAAGTTCTTGGCATGGTGGATGTCATTATGCGTGTTCCACCAATTTTAATTATAGATGAAATCCTAAGAATTGATATGGGACTTTCCAGTAGCGGCAGTAGTAGTAGTGCTGGTGCTGGCGGTGGAGGAGGTGTTGGGAGTGTTGATTCGACAGTAGATGTTGTGGATAGTAGTAATGCTGCCGGTGTGGCGGAATCAATTGTTGCAGCTGCAGCAACGGCTGCTACCACAGCGAACGCTACCAACCCCGGTGGAGGTTTTGTAGGACAAATGTTTGTTGACCTCGTCGAGGATTTTACAAGTGAAACATATATATCGGACCTGCTCGGATTAACATCAGTGAGATTTCTTATATGTCTGTTAGGTGAGTATTTCTATTATTTTACTGAATTTATTCTAGATGTGATTTAATAATATGTGACCCATTGTATCTCCCGCTTACGTTGTCCATGTTTTGGTCGTCATAGTTTCAAAGGTGGTTGTTTTTGTTCAATTTCGTTTGGAAGACAAAAGCCTTATATAATAAACTTCTCCAGTAATTTGACAATGAAACCGCACCACTCTCAAATTTATTACCTTAAACTCCCAACACCTCATTTTTAATAAATTCAAATAGATCAACACCCCCATAGTCCAATCGTTCGTTGATCTTATCTTCGAATTTTGCCGAAGGGTAGATATGATTCGACCATCCGGTTATCACTGTTTTCATTATTTGCTAATTTTTCTGCTTCTGTGGCTGTTTTTTATTTAACCATAACCCATAACAGAATGAAAGATTAAAAGAAGAAAAAAAAAAGCATTTGCGCTTTGTTTCATACAGGGGCACGACGTAACAGACCACCAACCTGTTAAGTGACTAAACGGAATGCAATAAAAAATATAAACAAATATAATTTTGCCTTGACTCTTTCTCACAAATGTTTTGTTTAAAAGAAAAACACATTTAAATAATTAACGCTCACAGGTTCCAAATTGTGGTAGCAGCAACGTAATTGTTGAAGAGATTATATTCTCAGATAATGTAATTTGGGATGCATATTTTAAGCTGGAATAAATATGCAGTTTTAAAATTATTCTATTTTCAGTTTCGATAACTCCAACTTCTTAATACCTGACTGTAGATTTTGTAATCATCTATTTAAAGAACTTATCAATAACAAATCTATATTATAGACAAGCGCGATAAAAAGGACTCATGTACTTGACGAATACGTGGAAAAGCAGAACAAAGTATAAATTTTGAAATGAGATGACTCAATATGGCTTTTGCATAATTTCTCATTTAGTCATGTACAAATCGTCGCTGTCATGCTTAAATGTTCCATAGATCATTTTTGATCAGAGAAAATGTGTTTGTTTCTGTATTACCTTTGCATGGCTTATTGACCTTGTTATCCAATCATTGATCTTATAGATTGACCTTGTGCCTAATTTTATTTATGTCTAGAGTAGTCAATGTATAGATGGTTATTTTTATGACCCAATGGGCTAGGTATCTGTATCTATCCTAGCGATAGTAAGAATTCGGCTCGACGGGACCAAATGTTTCTCCCTCATTTCTATGAGATGTCCTCCCATGCACACAAGCCGTGAACGTAAATAAAATAGAAAAGATTACCATTTATTAAATGGTGAGCTTCGAGGTTCGTATAAGAGAGAGAATGCAAGCAAATTCCCAATCCAGCGAGGTGGCTGGAACCAACGATGCTTCCGAAAAATCTCCAACAGCACTACTGGCTGAGAAGGTATCCAAAGAGAGTGTAGAGAAAGCTGCCTACGGTAGGCCCCAAGGAGAGTTTAAGGGAATATTTTCAGACTAGGAAGGGTTTTTTTCCTACGGTCCGTTCCAAGGGAATGTAGGCTCCTAGTGGAATTTTAGACAATCTTTTAGCCCATGAAAACATCTCTCAACGGTCCGCGCTAAGTGAATGTAGCCACTCTGTATCCTCTTGCAATATGCATTTGCATCATAAACACCCACCAATGTAACGCAAAAGTGTTACCCACTCGAATATTAATCCCCATTATGTTATTTTTTAATACTTCTCTTGTTGGAGGCCCCATCTAACTTAACCAAAGTATGTAGGGTCGTATATTAAGTTTGTCATTCCGTTTTTAACCCCTCGAAATATCCATTTTAGACCCTAAAAAGTATATACAGGGTGAGATGAAAAAACTGCAACCAACTTCAGACTGCTGTCATTTCAAAGCCACTCGTCCGATAGTTGTTAAAATTATTTCATTTACAACTCATTATATTGTTTACAAACGTACAAAAGCGTTTTGGTGAGAATTTTCCAGAAAAAAAGTAATTTTAGTAATAATTGATTTCTTTATATTTGGCTGGAAAACCACACGTGGCTATCGTTAGAGCCCTCCAACATTTAAATGTGAATGAATTTTTTGTGTCTCGTACCATCGCTCGTTATCATGATACCGGTAGCGTAGCCCGACGTCAAAGAAATGGACGGAAGAAAACAGCAACATCAGCAAAAATGGTTCGAAAAGTAAAGAAGCGATTTGGTCGAAACCCCCGTCGCAGTGGCCGAAAAATGTCTCGTGAGCTGAACATATTGCAATATTCCATTCGGCAAATATTGAAAAATGAGCTCGGAGTAAAGCCATTGGAACTCCAAAATGTGCAAGAAAACCGCAACAGAAAGAAAATAGCCTTGGCCGAAAGTGGTGAACTGTCGAATTTGGTTTTTTCCGATGAGAAAACATTCGTTGTCCAGCAGTTTGTAAACAAACAAAATTATCGTGTTTACTTGCCAAAGAGGTTAGCCGAAAATGTGCACCTTCGGTTGGCCACCAGAACTCAAGCGCCGGCCATTGTGATGGTGTGGGCCGTCATAACATCCGATGGTCACTCTCCGCTCGTATTAATCGACCGTGGCATCAGAAAAAATGCCGAATATTATCACGAAAATGTTCTGGAGGGTATATTAAAGCCTTGGGCATGCAAACATTTTGGCCACAGACCTTGGAATTTCAACTGGACTCAGCACGCGCCACCCAAGAATGGTTACAAAATGAGGTTCCTCGCTTCATTTCCAGCGCACAATGGCCACCAAAATCTGGGGATACCAATCCGTTGGACTATTGTGTCTGGAGCATTTTGGAAAGCAAGGTGGCACTAAAAAATACCAATCTCTCTACCTCAAGCAAGCGATTCGTCAGGAATCGACTAAAATACCGCAGAGCAACATTAGGCAGCGTGGGACGGTTTAATCGGGCATAATTCGTGCCAAAGGTGACCAATTCGAGCAAACCTAAACTTATTCTGAAATTTGATGCCATTTCCGACATTTTTTTGCTTTCATTCTATAAAATTAAAAAAAAAAACAATGTAAAAATTATGGCGTTTGACTTTGTTGCAGTTTTTCATCTCACCCTGTATAGGTCCACATCTTCGTATATCCCTCATAAAATGGTACCTTCCGATGTTTGGTATTTTTCCCGATTTTAGTCATATATCTCAAATATGTCTCAAAATTGATATTTGGAGTTCGCATCAGTTCTGGCAGATAATTAGCAAAAAAGCTCCAATCTTTCGTATAGCCCCCATATACCACTCGATATTTGGTATTTTGATCATTTAATAGGAAATTTTTAAACGGATTTTTTATGTGCAGCAAGATTTTTCGAATTTGTGGAGGGTATTAAAAGTTCGGTTCGACCGGATTTACATTTTGTTACAATGGCATTAGACAATTCAACAGGTTTTGAATATTTTAGCTGCCTTGTTCTGTAGCTATTTTCATTTTTTGTTAATTTAATTTTTTGCATGGTAACAATATATTTTTGATTCAATTTAACTTCCCCACAATTCTTTCGTAGTACAATGGTAATGTTTTATAAAATTAAATTATCTAAAACGCTTTGTTTACAAACTATTCCTTCCGATATGTTTGTCTATACATATTGTGGTTTGTGTAATCGACAGCATTTATCATGGTTTGTTTGCTTTTATATTGGTATTCCATAAAAATGGTTTGGCCAAACAACAAAGAAATTTTGTCAACTCATGTTTTCCCCCTCGAAGTAATTAGAATTGTGAAATAGATTTTATAGTATGTTATTTATGAAGAAAATCTATGTATATTATTGTTCTTAAAATAAATATATATATGTATCTCTTCCAACGAAAGTTTCTTCTTCACTCATGCAATATGAATTTTATATTTAATTACGCCCATATTTGCGTAATTACTTTTTATTAATAATTAATATTCAATGTTCTTTAAAACACAAAGCATTCAAAACGGAATGACCTTATTCGAGGTTAAAACCATAGAACAGGAATGGGGTTTGATTTTGTATCGTGATTGTATAAGAAAAGAACATTTGAAGATCTTTTGTACATTTTGAAGAATTGTAAATTTAATATTTAGATTAAATACGACAATTTTTGACCTTTGAAGAACTTTTGGTCTTCTATGAAAAATTGTTGATCTTTTATGGGAAGACTTTTTGGTATTCTATGGGAAGACCTTTTCGTCTTCCATAAGAAATCCTATGAGAAGAGTTTTTGTTCTTCTATATGAAAACCTTTTGGTGTTCTATAAAAAGACCTCTTAGTCTTCTATGAGAAGACCCCTTGATCTTCTAAAAGAAGATAAGACCATTTGATATTCTACGAAAACACTTCTTGAATTACTACAATGAGACATTCTGTGCCTCAATGAGAAGACTTTTGGGTCTTCTCTGAGAAGACCTTTTAGTCTTCTTTTAGAAGGCGTTTTGTGCCTACGAATATATTATTGGTCTTCTGTGAGAAGATATTTTGGTATTCTAACAGAAGATCTTTGGGCATTCTACAAGAAGATCTTTGTGTCTTCTATGACCTTATATGAGAAGACCGTTTGGCCTTTTAAGATAAGATTTTTGATCATTTTAGAGAAGGCCTTTTGTTCTTCATAGAGAAGGCCATCTGGTCATATAAGAGAAGACTATCTTGATATGTATGAAAAGACCTTCGGGTTTAACAAGGAAAGGCCTTTTGGTTTTCTATGAAAAGACTTTTTGGTCCCCGTTTAAGAAGGCATTTTGGTATTCTACTAGAAGAGCTTTGTGTCGTTTATGGTAAGACCATTTTGTTTTGGTCTTCTACAAGGGAACCTTCTTGCCCTCTAATAAATATTTTGATCTTCTATGAAGAGATCTTAGGGTCTTCTATGAGAAGACCATTTGGCCTTCCCTGAGAAGACTTCTAGTGGTCTACGAGAAGACCTTTTTTATCTTCTTAGGGATGGAGTTTTGTCGATCTATGAGAAGACTATCTGTTCATCTAAAGGAAGAATATCTGGACTTCTATGAGAAGACCATTGTGGCTTCTATGAGTAGACCAAGTCTTCTAGATTAGACTTTGTGGTCTTATATGGGAAGATTTATGGTCTTCTATTAGAAGGCCCTCTGGCCTTTGGTGGGTATTATTTCTGGTCTTATGCAAGAAAACTTTCAGATCTTATGTAAAAAAGCTACTGGTCTTCTGATCTCCTGACAAATAAAAGGACCTTAGGTTAGGTTAAAGGATGCGTGGTTGTTTTAACAACCATTCCACTCGGTGACCTGCTGGTCCATTGTGTTCATCCTATGTGAAAAAAGATTAATATCAGCGGTGCTCAAGAAAAAATACCTCTTTTCAGTCAAATTTCTCTTTTCTTATTTAAATCAATAACAAAACAGTGTTAAGTCATTATTTATCCATTTGCTTTATAAATTAATTTTTCAAACATTCGTGTTTAAAAACAATTTAATAGAACCGTAAAATATAAAGAAAAACAGAATTTTAATTTTCTCTTAAATTATCTCTTTTTTCGGTTCATGTTCTAGAACACGGTTTTTGAGCACTGCTGTTAATATAGAGAAAAGGAAAGAAGCAGAGGTAAGGAAATAGAGAAGAAGGATAGAGTTAAAATATGGGGATAAGAAAACGAAGGACCTTTAAGTCTTCTATGTACAGAGTTTCTTGTGAAAGCCTTATGTTCTTCTATGCGAAGACTTTTTGATCTTCTATGAGAAGACATTTTGGTTTTCAAGGAGAAGGCATTCGGGTCTTCCGTGAGAGGGACTTCTGACCATCTATAAGAGATTTATTAAAATAACTTTCTGAAAAAATGCAATCTTCTCCTAGCCTTATAGTTTGCATTCCAACCATTTAGAGCAATGTTATTGGTCTTTTAGCTCAAAACTGTGTACATTTGGGATAATAGTCTCTGCTATGTTATTTGGGAGTACGGAAGACTTTAAACATATCCAAGATATTTCGAAATCTCTTTTTACAATTTTGTTGCATGTGATTCAGATTTTGAAAATTTGATTCTCCTGACACTGAAATGTTTCCCAATTTCTTCTTAAAGCATATTTTGAAGAAAATTTTTAGTATTGCAACAGATAGTATACTTTTAAACTTGATCTTATTTACCACCGAAACCATTTTAAATATTTCATTTCCCTTGAATACAACTCAATAATATATCCCTTCTCTCCAGGTCTTATATGTGCTATTTGTGTTGTTGTGCTTTGGACGAGGCATCTGGTTGTGGTGTATATGTTTGTGATATCACTGGGTTTAACCTTCCTCTCACACTGGTCAAATATAACGGCTCTGGCGATAATCGAAAAAAGTCCCTGCATACTGGAGGATGTATTGTCGATGAACACAACACGTTTAATGGATACCGGTAGTGTTGTTGTGGCGGTAGCACCACATATTGTCGCTCAATGGTTTATGGGTATGCTATTTGCCTATATACATTTGGGTCCACGCTACAAGATGCTGCAAAAAAAGATGCCATTGATTTTTGCCAGTCCCATATTACTAGCCACTTTGCCACTGAAACCAAGATTAATAAAATATCTATCACTGCTGGCACATACCATACCATTGATATTAACGAAAATCACCCTCTTAACCAGTGCCATGGATGTCATTAAGACTGTCTGCAATGGCTATATGTATGCCATAAATTTTATAAGTAATTTTGGTGTATCCGCTTTGATTGAGAACGAATGGCAGCGGCTGAATGTGCCAAGTGTTTTGAGAGTTTTCTGGATCATAAGGTATGTCCTTGCTTTACTTATGATTATAACTAATAATCAATTTTTATTTTCACAGGATGACTCTTGAATTCGTTTCAATGATGTTGCGCAATGAAGTGAACTCTGGAAATCTTTTACCCACCATACAATCGCTGCTCGTCAATGGCTGTGGAACATTAACGACTGTCTTGGGCATGACATCTGTTATATCGGTGATATGTGATTACATAGGCAAAGCTTTCCAATGGTATCTCTTGACATTCGACAATGAAGAAGAGAAATCTCTGGGTACTGTGTCGGCAGTTTTGTTCTATGTTCTGGCCCTACAAACCGGCCTAACATCATTGGATCCCGATAAGCGTTTTGTGCGTCTATGCCGCAATTTAAGTCTTTTAATTACGGCATTGTTGCACTTTATCCATAACATTGTCTCACCCATGCTTATGTCGCTGAGTGCAGCCCGTAATCCATCACGTAAACGTCATTTCCGTGCCTTAACCGTGTGCGCATTCCTAGTCATTGCTCCGATTTGTTTGTTGATAACACTGTGGAAACGCCATTCGCCGTCGACATGGTTGTTGGCCGTGACAGCTTTTTCAGTGGAGGTTGTTGTAAAGGTAAGGCTTTGGGTGGAGCATATTGTCGGTTTAGAATGACGTTTAGCGATACCTTCTTTATATCGCCCACCTTAGAAAAGATGATATATCAAAACGTGTCCGTCACCTCCAAATGTTAGTCGGACCGAAACTCCATAAAGTGAAGTATTGAGAATAAGATATATGGGTCCATGCTTTCGTACAGACCCCATATAACTGTACCTCCCAATATTCCATATTCTGACGATTTAATAACATTTTGTTAAAAAATCGGCATTTGTGGCATATATCTATACCTCCGGATATTCGGTATTTTGACATCTATATAGATCCACAATTTTCCATAGCTCCCATATAACCATACCACCCGATATTTTGGCATATGTGTTTATAAAATTTGGCATATGTATTTAGTAGTGAATTCTACCTCCGGTGGCAGAACTTTATATAGATCCAAGTTTTCCTATAATCGCCACATAATGATAATGAGCTACATTTTCTATTGATTTTTTTTTTTAATTCGATATTTGTGGTTTGTAGTGTCTTCTACATCCTGTGACTTAATATTGTCTAAATAGATCCAAGTTTTTCCTGTGACTTTTAACGAATTTGTTTTAAATTCGACATTTGAAACGCCCAGTAGAAAACAACCAATTTAAGAGAAAATTGTCGGAGTATGTTCACGATTTGGTATTGTTCCCATATAGCCCTGCTGTCCATTTTATGAAGACCTAGACTGTCTTCTCCAAACAATTTCACTAGCATTTGCACATTTATTGTTTAAAATGGAACTCGTTCGAATTTTGAATACCGATACGTTTATTTATAAAGGTTTCAGTTGCCTCATGAAAAATGGTTTATGCCAGACTTAAGATTTTTTGTTTTATTTGTTTAAACTCTAATAATCGTTTTTCTTATATTTTATTTGTCTAGGTTCTCGTTTCCTTGGCCACCTATACCTTGTTCCTTGTGGATGCATGGCGTTCCACGTTCTGGGAGAAATTGGATGACTATTTGTATTATGTCCGTGCTTTTGGCAATTCCGTAGAATTTTGTTTTGGTATTTTGCTATTCTTTAATGGTGCTTGGATATTGGTCTTTGAGTCGGGTAAGTCCTATAAAAATGTTGCATTTTATCATTTGTGCTTTATGTTTTCATTGCTTTATAAGTTTGGTTGTGGAGTCTTTTTGTTTCACAATTTTTTGGTTGTTGTTTTATTTTTTTAAATTTTCATGTCATCGCAAATTTCTTGTATGTAGTCTCGATAATTGAGAGAATCAGTGATCGATCATTAATCAGGAGATGAAATTTGGAAATATGAAATATTGGAGTCAAATTTATCTAAATTTAATGTTTGTTTGATCGTTTCGAAGTTATTTCCCCCAATAAAATATTTAATGTAATTATTGTACACAAACTCAGTTATCAAGCCCATAGGTTCATGGATGGTTCCAAAAACAAGTCTATCCTTTATATGCTATATTTAATTTTTGTTACCCTCTCTAAATTCTAAACGGATTATCAATTTTTTTTATCAGGTTATAGCTTTATCCAAAATATTAACCTAGATCTTTTTTCTCTCATGGGACAAATTAAATATTTAGTCCATGGACGGTTCTAAAAACATTTATACATTTTCTACCCTTTTAAAACTTCATTAATCCTGGGTAATCATTTCTTAAAATTTCAACCGTATCCAGTACGAAATTCTAAGCATTTCAATCCATTTCCTGCTCAGTCTACATTAGTATGGAGACAGGAAAGTACACATAATCGTATCTTCTATTTGACGTGGGAATTTATTACCCTCTCTGAATTACAAAGGGAAATTTTCTGATAAACTATAGTCTTTTCTTCTATTTGACGTATTGTTTGTTCCTATCGGAAATTATTACCCTTTCTGAATTATAAAGGGAAATTTTGGATAAACTATAGTCTTATCTTCTATTTGACGTATTGTTTGTTCCTATCGGAATTTATTACCCTTTCTGAATTATAACGGGAAATTTCGAAAAAACTATAGTCTAAAGGTCTCTTTTTGTAGAAAGAAAGTTACCATTTGAAATATGTTTTCAAATTTTGATTTAAAAGAAAAATCATTTGGAATGGTTTCTTCTGTCGTATTCACTTTCGTTTAGCCATATACAGAAACATTCCATTAACTTTCACCCGATGGGAAATATTATTCAGATGTAGTTTATAAATTCCGCATAAATTCAATTTTTTGACTTAAAATGGAACTGAATATTCTTTAACGAGAACGCAAGTTCGTTCGGGAACAAAAATATAATTTCAAAAATAAAATTTCAGCAAATATTCAAAACCTATTCGGTCTTCTAGGTGCGCGAATAGCTTACTTTACAAATGTATGAAAAAATAAGTCGTGCAAATAAGACTCAATGCTAGTTCCCATATAATTTAAGTTTACAGTACAGGGTGAGATAAAAAAAACTGTAACAAAGTTAAAAGCCATAATTTCTACCTTTTTTAAAATTTAATTGAATAAAAGCAAAAAATGTCGGAAATAGTATCAAATTTTAGAATAAGTTTGGATTTGTTCGAATTGGTCATCTTTGGCACGAATTATGGCCTTAAATGAAACCGTCACACGCTGCCCGAATGTTGCTCTGCGATATTTTGGCCCATTCCAGGCGAAGCGCTTGCTTGAGGCGATCAACACTTTGGTATTTTTAGTGCCAACTGTGCTTTTCATAATACCCCAGACACAATAGTCCAACGGATTGCTATCCGGAGATTTTGGTGGATATTGTGCGCTGGAAATGAAGGTGGGGTTTCCATTTTGTAACCATTCTTGGGTGACGCGTGCTGAGTCCTGTTGGAATGTCCAAGGTCTGCGGCCAAAATTTTTGCGTGCCCAAGGCTTTATTACACCCTCCAGAATATTTTAGCGATAATATTCGGCATTTATTCTGATGCCACGGTCGATTAATTCATTTTGTTTGTTTACAAACTGCTGGACAACGAATGTTTTTCATCGGAGAAAACCAAAATCGGCAGTTTACCAGTTCCGGCCAAGCGAAGTTCTTGCACTTTTTGGAATTTTAATGACTTTACCCCGAGCTCATTTTTCAATATTTGCCGAATGGAATATTGCGATATGTTCAGCTCACAAGCCATTTTTCGGTCACTGCGACGCGGGATTCGATCAAGTCACTTCTTTATTTTTCGAACCATTTCCACTTCCTTGACGTCGGTCTACGCTACCAGTATCACGGTAACGGGCGATGGTACGAAACACAAAAGATTTCTTCACATTTAAATGCTGGAGTGCTCTAACGATAGCCACTTGTGGTTTTCACGCCTGAATTCCATCACGAATAACTTTTTTTTTTTGGAAAGTTCTCACCAAAATGCTTTTGTACGCTTGTAAACTATATAATGAGCTGTCACTGGAATATTCTTAACAGCTGTCGAAGGAGTGGCTTAGAAATGACAGCGGTCTGAAGTTGGTTGCAGTTTTTTCATCTCACCCTGTAGTAATTTAAAAAATCCATTCAGGGTCAAAAGTAAACCCAAAATGTAAATTTTTTCCATATTCGAATATGTATTGCATATATATCAAAACCAAAGAAAGATAGGAGCTCCATTAATTTGGCTTTAACAAGTATGGGCTACTTCATCAATTCAAAAAAAAAAAAAATGCTTCCAAAACAAATTCATATCCATAATCCATCATCCACCATAATACCCTACCCCCAAAACATTGTCATTTCAAAATGTCAAAGTTATCCATATTGCTGCAATGTAATTCCCAAACAAACAACAACAAAAAACAAATCAAACAAAATTTATCCTCCTTTCCAAAAAAATACAAAAAATTGCGTGTGCATGTAAATTTTTTTTATTTGGTTGATTGGTACCGTATAATATAACTTGATAGCACAAAATGCTACAGGCGGCGCCATCCGTGCAATTATGATGTGCATACATGCTTACTTCAACATTTGGTGTGAGGCTCGTGCCGGTTGGTCAGTGTTTATGAAGAGACGATCTGCTGTACATAAAATATCAACGCTGCCAGAGGCAACACCGGCCCAGTTGCAGGCTTTCGATGATGTCTGTGCTATTTGTTATCAGGTATGTTGGAAAAAAAAACACCTAAATGATGAGATATATAATTTTGCCTACTCAAATAATCCATATTGTTTTATTTCCCCTAGGAAATGCATTCAGCCAAAATAACCCGTTGCCGTCACTATTTCCATAGTGTATGCCTACGCAAGTGGCTATACGTTCAAGATAGATGTCCATTGTGTCACGAAATCATGATGTACACCGATCGAACAGATGATTCGCACAATAATGTGCCACACCAGCAGGATATGGATGCTCCATTAGTTAATCGTAATCGAGAGGTAAGTTTTTTTTACAGAAGGAATGTGAATTCGAAAACAAACTTATCAAGAACTGAACAGGCTAGAGTAGGCAAGTGGAGGAAATTTCTTGTAAATTGTTGTAAATCCAGCAGGGATTGATACCACCTTTTGTCTACATAATTCAAGATTATCGAGACCGAATACGTTTTTCAATCAGGGTATCTGCGTGCTTGAATTTTTATTATTATTTTTTTATGTTTACCCAAAAGTGCAGTAAACGAGAATAAATTGAGATAGGTTTTTTGTAAGCAATGATCGTACCAAGGCCAATTTACTAAGTTCACTCATGAGGCGAATTCAGGATTCATATTCTTCTCTTGCTGTCTAAAGTTCTTCTGCGTAAAATCTATCAAAAAAAGAGGAAAACACTAAAGATTGTTTCATAAATTTTACATTTCAAAAGTGCAGGAAAGGTAAAAAAATACATGAAATCTGTATTTGAATAAATAATACGGTTCATATAATTTCATGTTTGAAGAATATTTGGTGCAAATGTAGTTGAGTCCTATATGGCCCATCCGCTTTTTCTCATTTTGGCATACTCTTTTCGACATTTCGGATGATATCTCACAAATATATGTTTCAATGTCGCCTTCCAATGTGTCAATTAAAGCGAGTGTGTCTGTATAGCCATAAGCTTTAACATAGCTCCTCTATATAAATCCCAATGTTACGGGTGCTGTGTGGCATGTGCCACCGTCTTTTTGAAACCACATATTTTACACTTTGGGCAATAAAAGTTGTATATAATCTCACGGCAGCGCTCACCATTCACAGTTACGTTTCGACTCATATCACCTTTAAGAATGTATGGTCCAATGATGCCACCTGCCCCAAAACCGCACTAAATTGAGACCTTTATGGATGCATTGGTAGTTTTTCCAATGCTTCTGACTGATTTTCATTCCAGAGTCGACACAACACAATTTTTTGATAAAAGACACGGATTTTCGACCAATTTTCCGACCAAGAGCCCATTCATCAAAGATTCTGCGTTCGGCTTCATTTCTTGCATTAGCTGTATTTTTAAAGGTAAAATTTCGTTCCGCAAAATTTTCCATGTCGTTGAATAACAAAGGCCCATTTGCTGCGAACGGCGGATGGATAATTGATGGTCTTTCCGAAACAGTTGCAACATTTCTACACTCTACGTAAGCGTGTTGGTGGTTAAATTCCCAACGATGTAAAATTTGTGGAGAATTTTAGTCAGTGGATGTTGATAATGGGATCTACGCGTGAGAAGAACGTTAGAGTTCCTATTTCCACCCACCTTCCAAATAGCCTATGTCTCCTGTGGGCAGTGGTCAGTCAATGTACGTAGACTTACTAATTGATAGAAGGTATAGAAGTTCTTCTCGAAATTAACGGCCAAATGACCTTAGATACCCTGTAGTCGGGTTCAAGCTTTTGTCAGCTTTTTTTTGAAGCAGCTGACGTAAGTAATTAATTGATACTATAAATCGGTAAATTTATGGATTGGAAGATCTCCTCGATCCATTTCATTCCCGATTTTGTTGCTATGTCCAGAGAATCAAGGAACCTTAATGAAGTTCTTATATAGCAGTGGCCAGTCAATATTCCCACCTCGATTTTTAGATCAGTCTTGCTAATTGATAGAAGGGAGGTTATTCTTCTATCAATTAGCAAGACTGATCAAGACTGGTTTGATTAATTAACTACCGAGATATAAGCAGGCAATCCGAAATTTACTGTGTTCGTGTGGATGTAAAATGGTTACCGTAATAAGTGAACCCAAAGTCCATAGATATATTGATACAGAAGTAATATTGCTTGCTACCTCAATGATGGCCGCCAGCATTTCGGTTAATAGTCGCCATACGAACTTTTTGCCCAAATAATTGACGTGACAAAATAATGAAGCTTATTTTGAGAGGATAATCGAAGCTGGTAAAGGGTCGTCTAAGGAAGATAATACATTTTTTTGTATATCCCAATGTAGACAGAATGCCTCTATGGAGTTTCACTTTCGCATCAACACATTAAGATTGTTTCAAACCTGACCGGAGGCTATATAAAAATCTTAGTTGCTAGTATAGCTGCATTACATTTAGAGCTTATTCGAATAGCAGTTTAGGGAGAAGTCTATGATATATACACATGTATCCATTGCAACTGTCATGTATACATTCGATCAATCAGTGATTCAAAATATTATATATTTCCAGGATGTTGCCTTAGAAAATGCACGAAGTCGATCGACAGCTGATGCCGATAACAACACATCATCGTCGTCATCATCATCAACGTCTGCAACAACAACAACAGTATCTGCCAGTCTCTTGGCTACAGCTAGCGGCGTCGCTAGCGTAAGTTCTGGTCTAGTTAGCAGTAATTTTAGTGCGGGCAGTGCCGGTTCCAGCGCTGCATCACATTCATCATCGTCATCACAGATCAATACCACCGCACCCACAACATCCAGAACAGCAGCTGTTGCTGCCACCGCCACAGCGGCGGCGAGCAATTCAACGCATAGTTTTCGGTTTCCATCCGATTTTGATGTACAGGATTAACTATAACTATAATTTAATGTAATTAAAATAAAACAAAAAAAAAAAAAAAAAAACACAAAAAATAAATATACTATAACTACTACTTAAGGTGTATGTATAAATGAAAATTTAACAATAGAATGAAAACAAACAAACAAATCACATACGCAACATATGTTTATTAACGAAATTTAATTAAAATTAAGTTAAGAGGACACATTTCTATGCGACACGTTTTTGTTTTTGTTTTTCGTTTTCTTTTTTTTTATCGATATAAGTTATTTTTTGTTTAAACATTAATATAGGCATAGACTTGTGTTTGTTTTAGTAAAAAAGGGAAAGCTTTGCTTGATTGTTTTTTTTTTTTATAAAATAAAAGAATATAAAATTATTGATATGAAATGAAAATGATTTTAATGTCGTACACCAAGGAGTGAAAACTTTGTTTGAGTGCAAACCAAATTTATTATTAGTCTGTTCCAGGTTCTGGAACAGAGCATATTATAACCTCCCTTTGTTTTGTTGTTATTTTAGACTTATTCAGTATCTATTGAGAAGCTCTTAAATTGGGGATGTGGCAAATTAGCAAATACTTGGAACAAGAAGAAAAAAGGGATGTTTTTTTATATGTCGATACGTAAGTGAATGTCAAAAAAGAAAACCATTAGTTCGTTAAATCGCACCATCGCCTCTAAGCTCAAGTTCATTGTTACGCGTGCTGTGTGGCATGTGGTACTGCCTTGTTGAAAGCACATGCCATGCAAGTCAAGTTCTTAAATTTTGGTTCTAAAAGTTCGATATTATCTAATTGTAGCGCCCAACATTTACGGTTACGTTAAAATTCGTAGCATCTTTGAAGAAGTACCATCTAATGGTGCTAATAAACCGTACCAAACTGTGACTGTTTCTGAATGCATTGGTAACTTTTGCAATGCTTCTGGATAATTTTCACTCCGAACAACACAATTTTTCGTTTCTTGAACTCTCTTAACAGAGCACGCATTGTGATAATAAAATTCAATTGTTTGCAAGCTTTGTTCATTTGTAAGACGATTCACGGTTTAATTATAGACCAGGCAAACGTGCTTGACCTATTTAAGTCAGTGTTGTTAAAAAGATAATAGGTAAAGATGATCTCTTTACGGCAACCTTTGTATGTCTGTTTTCAGACATATAACTTAATCTTCTTAAGACCTTCAAATTGTTTTCTATTGTTAAAAGCCATTTTGGAGGACTTCTACGAACGCAAGACTTCGTTAAGGCATTTTTCAGACAGAAGACGAAGGTATTCAACTTCAATTGACAGATGTTCTTTTGAAGCTATTCTGGGTCTTGCCAGAGAGAGGCTAAAGAAGACCTTCAAATCTTGTTCTATTGTCTATTTGGAGGTTTTCTACAAAAACAAGGTTTCTTTAAGACCTTGGTAGAGGACTTTTTGAAGCTCTTCTTTTGATAGAATATCTTAGAAGGAGGTTCTTAGAGACGAAGGATTATTAAAAAGTCTTCTAAAGGTAAAATATTTTTTCGAATTTGTATTCTATCCACTATGTATGTTACGTTTTCACGTTTTGGTACTAAGGTTTTTTAAGGTTTTTTTTGGTGTTTTGTCACAATTTCAAACCGGCATCACATTCTCTGACAGGTAATTGGCTGTAGATGTCCACGGTTTTGTGAAGGCCCCATATAAGCAACCGATATTCAGGCATGTTAATGATTTGTTTTACGTTTTTTACCGAAATTGTTTCAAATTCGGATTTGGAAGTTCGTAGCGGGTACTGCTTCCTATGACCTAAAATGACCAACACAAGTTCACGTCTTCGTGTAGCTCCTATACAACGGTTCCTCTCAATATTTGGTATTTTGATGATTTTTGCTACATTTTTCAAACAAATTATCTTAAAGTTCGTGTTTGGATTTCGTAAAGGGGACCACCTTCTCTGACAGATAATTGGCTGTAAAAGTCTAGTTTTCGTATAGACCCATATGACTTTGATACCTGATACTCGGAAATTTTCAAATAATAGAGGCGTATTTCAAAGGAATTCTCAAATTTTGCTAATTTCTTCCAAATGCTGGGTGGTATTGAAAGTTCGGCCCGAATTTAGGTACTTCTTACTTTTATACCCTACACCACAAGGTCTTTGTTCATTTGTTTGTAACAGGCAAAAAGAAACGAGATAGACCCATAGTTCCTTTTGATGATTTGCATAAAGTTTGAGTCGATTTATACATGTCCGTCCGTCTGTCCATGTATTTTTGTAAACAAAGTACATGTCGCATTTATTGACCGATCCAGATGAAATTTTGCACAAATCATTTGTTTGGCCCAAGGACGAGCCCTATTGAAATTGGAGATAATCGGTCAAAATTTAGGTAAATATCCTATATATATCTTCGTGCGATTTGCTTTTTTGTGTGCACTAAACGTGTAATATCAGCCCAAATAGTATGGAATTTTGCACATACGAACAAATTAGGCCAGAAAATAAGTATGCAAATTTTGATCGAAATTGGTTCAGATATAGCAATAGCTCCCATTTATATTTTTCATTCGATTTGTTAGTTTTGTCCTCCTCAGCAGTAATATGCACTCTGTAATAACAATATTTGTGGAAATATATGAAATACAGCTCAAAAATATCTTTGCTAAATTTTATCGAGATCGGGTCAGATTTGAATATAACTTCGTACGATTTGCTGTGCACCAAACGTGTAATATAAGCCCAAATGGGATAGAATTTGGCACTTTCGACCGAATTGGGTCTAGAAGCTAGTATGTCAATCGTTTCAGACATAGCTCCTATATAAATTGTTCACCCGATTTGTTATATTTGTTCCCCACATCCGTAATATGCACTCCGTAACAACGATATTCAGGGACATATATCAAATGCAGCTCAGTAATTTCTTTGCCAAATTTTATCAAGATCGGTGCAGATTTGGATATAGCTCGCATATATATCTTTATCCGATTTCAAGTTAATTGTGCACCAATGGGACAATACAAGCCCGAAGTAAAAAGATACAAATGCTTCGGCACATTTAGACCTTTGAACTTAATATACCATTTGCCGTTATTTTGAATTTTCAAAATTGTCTGGAGTTCCTTTAAGTATGCTATAAAAATATAGAATATAAATTATGGAAATGCTTATTTAGATATGACTTTACATCATTTGTGATCGGAAAATTTTGAAAAAAAAAAATAGTCACAAATAAAAAGAATCATATAAACTCTAATTGATTTCTCAAATGTTGATGGAAATCGATTTTTTAATAAAAGCAATTTTTACTAAAATCCTGTAAAATATTCAAAACTTTCCCTTATAATTCCCGAATTGCGAACTTAAAAACCCATTTCTGGGCCGGGACTAAAAACAGTGTTTTATAGTGTGGACCAGTTTGTTGTTTTAATTTTTAAGTTTTTTTTTTTTTTTTTTTTTTTTTTTGACACTATGTATTTAATGGACCACCAAGAGATTTTGACGATTTTAATCACTTTGTTAAGGGCATATATTTAAGGATATGTTAGGATTGTTCGATCTATATTTTAATATGCGAAATGATTAATTATTCAAGCTCGAGTTCATATATAAATTTAAAATAATTTGGTCTTTTAACTTAAAATTAAAATAAGAACAAATTATGACTGGATGTTCAATTAAATAGTGTCCTCAAATGTTTTAAAGTATTGTGAAATATTGTCAAAGTTTCCTTGAATTACAAATGTCTCTATCACCAAATCCCATTGCATTCAAGGTTTAAATACTCCAAAAAAAGGCAGCAGTTACAAAAATATAACCCTTTTTCTTTTAAGATTACAAACAAAACAAGATATTAATAAATATATTGTGAAGTCTGATATGATGAAATCTTAAGCAGAACATAAACATTAACAAATTAGCAATGTATATTTTAAATAAAATATAATAAAAACCCCATAACTTAATACCAGAGTTAATATTCTAGGCTAATTTTATATAATGGAAACAAATATAAATAATTAATAATAATAAACAAATTTAAATAGCATTAAACACAAAACCACAAAATAAAACCAAGAAAAACTCCCAATCTTTATTATTACTCTATAAGTTAATGGCATATATTGTAAATTGGATAAGGATAAAGGAACAAAAAACGAATTATTAAATTATTTTTAAAAACAAATAAAATTGTATGTTATTTTAATTTAACTAATTTTTGGGATTCTTGTTTTATCAACAACAATGTTATTATTTTACAAATTCGTTGAATTATTTAAAGAAAAAGAAATCAATCTAATCATCTCTCGTCAAATGATCTTCCGCCAACTCCCGGAATACCTCAGGGGTGTTCAATTGAAAATCAAATCATTATAATTACTTAACAAATGGTAGGGCGACACACGACAACAGGTGGTGGTGCGCACCACTGTCACACGATCGGCACGTTCAAAGTTAGCCTTAACGGTTTCATAATAGCGACCATCACTGCAATATATGTTTATAAAATATTATTATTTTCATTGTAGATATGAAATAACAGGTCGTTACTCACCTCAATACCATGCATCGCAATTTCAAACATTTCACACGCAACAAATCGATGGCCTTTTGACTTTTATCCGAAAAACGCAGATTGTCTGGATCCCATCTGAAAAGTATTTGAAGTATTATTAGCGTATTTGAGATGTCTAAAGGTTTGTTTTAAAATAACATAGGATAAGCTTCCAATCGAACTTATTTTTATAGAAATATACAGGGTGAGATGAAAAAACTTCAATCAACTTCAGACTGCTGGCATTTCTAAGCCACTCGTCCGACAGTTGTTAAAATTATTCCAGTGACAGCTCATTATAATGTTTACAAGCGTACAAAAGCATTTTGGTGAGAATTTTCCAGAAAAAAAGTTATTCGTGATGGAATTCAAGCGTGACAGTGTGATTTTTTATGTTTGGCTGGAAAACCACAAGTGGCTATCGTTGGAGCACTCCAGCATTTATTTTGTGTCTCGTACCATCGCTCGTTACCGTGATACTGGTAGCGTAGCCAGCGTCAAGGAAGTGGACGAAAGAAAAAACAGCAACATCAGCAGAATTGGTTCGAAAAGTAAAGAAGCGACTTGATTGAAACCCGCGTCGCAGTGGCCGAAAAATGGCTCGTGAGCTGAACATATCGCAATATTCCATTCGGCAAATATTGAAGAATGAGCTCGGGGTAAAGCCATCGTATTATTCGACCGTGGCATCAGAATAAATGCCGAATATTATCGCGAAAATATTCTGGAGGGTGTATTAAAGCCTTGGACACGCAAACATTTTGGCCGCAGACCTTGGACATTCCAACAGGACGCAGCACGCGCCACCCAAGAATGGTTACAAAATTTATTTCCTAGCTTCATTTCCAGCGCACAATGGCCACCAAAATCTCCGGATACCAATCCGTTGGACTCTTGTGTCTGGAGTATTTTGGAAAGCAAGGTTGGCACTAAAAAATACCAAAGTGTCGATCGCCTAAAGCAAACGCTTCGCCGGGAATGGGCTAAAAAAACGGCAGAGCAACATTGGCCCTTTGAAGGTCCTAATTCGTGCCAAAGTTGACTGATTTGAACAAATCCAAACTATTTCTAAAATTTGATGCTACTTCTGACATTTTTTGCTTCCATTCAAAAAAATTTTAAAAAATGCAAAAATTATAGCTTTTGACTTTGTTGAAGTTTTTTCATCTCACCCTGTAGTTCAAAGTGGGTATATCGAAAAATGTAGAGAAGTCTTAGGTTAGGGTCGAAAGTGAAAATATTGGATTTTCTTGTTCCCCCACCCACAAAGAAAATATATCGGCCCAATTTTGGTACCTCCCTCACAAGTTCAAAAAGTTCAAGAAAAAGATTATACATATATTTTTTAAAAGTCGAATTACGGATATTTTCCAAACTTGGGCCGTGGTAATAGTAATAACAAACTTCAGGAGCAATTTTGGAAAATATTGGACCACTATTTCAAAATTGGACCAAATGTTCAAAATTGTGAAATATGAATTCAATTTTTGATTTTCTTCAAATTTAGCTTTCCATCATTAGACAGCATTAGATCGCACATGAATATGACAAATAACTTCACACATTGCAAAAAATTAAATCTAATTTAAAGTTGGGATATGTAGGACCAATATTTCGGTACGTCCTAGGAATTTTTGTTGGGAATTAATTTATCCATCCGAAATTGAAGCTTATTATAACACATAATTACTCTTTGGAAAGGTATAAAACCTGTTTTGCAAAAATTGTCTTTGTAGAATTATACATTGGCCCGGCTCTCTAGATACTTTCAAGGATTTTTAGCTGTGAAATGTATGAAACCTTCTTTCTCTTGAGAAATTTTCCTAAGTTTGTGTTGTTTCAACTCACCTTAATTCCAAACGTTCCAAATTGCCGCAACTCGATGCAATTGTGTCCATCAACTGATCAACATGGATGTTAACTCCCAATTTTTCAGATGTTCCCATAACCAGGATCCTGAAATATTTTAAAATTCATTAATATAAGAATCTACAAAATTAATATATAGAAGAACAACGATGTCAGTATTTAAAACTTGTTTTAACTTTCGAACAACGACTTTGCCATATATATGTTTGTCCGCGGCAATTATATGCACATGATGTTTCTTTCCACAGAGCTTGAGTTAAAATAGTTAGTTTTTGTTAATTTTTTTTTTTGAAGTTGAATATTTTTGTCGATTAAGAGAATTATCCAATTAGGCATTCATGCTGTTCCATTTTTCGACGAATTAACTCACTTAGCATTGGTCAGGACGGGTAAAATACTCATCCAAAGTTGATCGGTAATGTGAGGCATGCCGGATAGGCAGCATGCACTCAACTGTTGACCATGACGGGTCAAAAACTTTTGTAAACCATCGTCGGATACATTGTCCGAAGAATCCAAATCAATGGACATTAAAGATCTGGAAATTCAACAAAAAAACAGAATTAGTATCTGGAAAAAACATCAATTAGATCCACCTACCTCGTCATTCCTGATTCCATCCATTGCTTGAGGACCGTATCATTAAAGCCATTGATTTGACCGGCCGACAGAAAACGCAAATTCGGTATGCGCGTCAACATGTCCACCAAACATTCCGTGGACAGATCGGTGGCCGTAATATCCAACTCTTGCAAGGCACATTTATCCCAGTCTACTTGCATGACAAACTCAGATTTCAAACTCGTGCCATTCATTAGCAGACAGGTTAAACGTTTCGAGCGTTGGATCAGTGTTTTCAATGTTGAGCCAGTGACTTTATTGCAAAAATTCACGGCCAAACATTCCAGCTGAATACAGTTCGAACTGAAGGCATCGATATGCGAGTCATCAATGAAATTGATGCCATACAGATTGATGACCCTCAGATTTGGTGTGGCCGATTTCAATTTATGCACATTGATGACTTCGTAGATTTCCTCCTCTTCCTCTTCACATTTTTCATAGGTACCAATGAGATGCAGTACCTCCAGGCCGTTGATGAAATTGTAGATTTTACGCATAAAACCCTCCATAAAGATGACCTCCGACAGGCAAATGCACATGTAACGCAGTTTGGTGGGAAAGGCTTGCATTTCGCTGAAATCGTGCAATTGCATAGCTGGAAAAAAAGAGAGGAAAAAATAACCATTTAAATAAAATTACATTTTCAATATTTTACACTCTCTTACCAGTGGAGAAATCCAACAGCATGTGTGTTAAATTGGGACATTTGGCGGACAACTCATGCAGCACAGTGTGGGTAATCAGCTCAATTGGCAATTCAATGTAACGCAATGTGGGTCCAAAACGCACGGCAATCAACGACAGCAAGGATTCCAAGGAGCCAACATGTAAACCTGACACCTCGGGGCGCAGCGAAACATTTTTCCACAAACGTGTATCGTAGGCTATTTGACGCCAACGACGACATACTCGGGCCAAGCGGCAAATTTCACGATGTGACAAATATGAGAAAATCTGCAATATTACCTTATCCGGCAATTTTTCAATGGTCTGTAGGGGTAAGAAATGAAAAATGTATTAATTTACGTTATTACCACACATTAGTTTCCATGCAGTTTAAAAATGGAGGATGAGGTATGTTTCTAAGTCATTTTCAAATTAAGAGCGAAGCTTGTAAGTAGCTCAAGCTAGAAAATATTTCCTTAAACCTAACTTGTACCCTGTACACAATGTCTTTGTACAGTAGTTCATAGCAGGCAAAAGGACACGAAATAGACCCATAGTTCCTCTTCATAACCTTGACAGAATCACATTCTGGGTCCATTATGTCAATCCGTCTGTCCATGTATTTTATTTTTTTAAAGTATAGGTCGCAGTTATTGTTCGATTTTTTCGGCCATAGGACGAACACTATTGAAATTGGTAATAATCCGACCAGATTTTGATATAGCTCCCATTATTTTGTTGTGCACCAAACGCATTATAAATGTCCAAATAAAATGGATTTTGAAAATACGACCGAATTCTAGTATGATAAATTTGGTGAAAATCGGACAGGATAATATCTCCCATATAGGGTGAGATGAAAAAACTGCAACCAACTTCAGACTGCTGTCATATCTAAATCACTCGTCCGATAGCTTACAAGCGTACAAAAGCATTTTGGTGAGAATTTTCCAAAAAAAAGTTATTCGTGATGGAATTCAAGTGTGGTAGTGTGATTTTTTTATATTTGAAGAAAACAGCAACATCAGCAGAAATGGTTTGAAAAGTAAAGAAGCGACTTGATCGAAACCCGCCTCGCAGTGTCCGAAAAATGGCTCGTGAGCTGATTTGGCAAATATTGAAAAATGAGCTAGGGGTTAAGTCATTGAAATTCCAAAAAGTGCAAGAACTTACACCGCAACAGAAAGAAAATAGACTCTAAAGAGCTAAAGATTTGCTTTGCCTGACCGAAAGTGGTGAACTTCCAAATTTGGTTTCCCCCAATGAGAAAACATTCGGTGTCCAGCAGTTTATAAACAAACAAAATGATCGTGTTTACTTGCCAAAGAAGCCAATTAATGTGGTGATGGTGTGAGCCGCCATAACAGGTGATGGTCGTATTAATCGACCGTGGCATCAGAATAAATGCCGAAAATATTCTGGAGGGTGTATTAAAGCCTTGGGCACGGAAACATTTTGGTCGCAGACCTTGGACATTCCAACAGGACTCAGCACCATCGCACTCAGCACGCGCCACCCAAGAATGGTTACAAAATGAGGTTCCTCGCTTCATTTCCAGAGCACAATTGCCACCAAAATCTCCGGATACCAATCCGTTGGACTATTGTGTCTGGATTATTTTGGAAAGCAAGGTTGGCACTAAAAAATACCAAAGTGTCGATCACCTCAAGGAAGCGCTTCGCCGGGAATGGGCCAAAATACCGCAGAGGAACATTCGGGCTGCGTGTGACGGTTACATTGGCCGTTTGAAGGCCATAATTCGTGACAAAGGTGACCAATTCGAACAAATTTAAACTTATTCTTAAATTTGATGCTATTTTCGACATTATTTGCTTTCATTCAATAAAATTTTAAAAAAAAAATATGGCGTTTGACTTTTTTGCAGTTTTTTTATCTCACCCTGTATCTTCTTCCGATTTGCCTTTTTTGTGCACCAAACGTGCAATAAGTATGACTGAAATATAGTATGCCAAATTTTATCAAAATCCGCTCAGATATAGCTATAGCTCCAATATATATTGTTCATCCGATTTGTTATTTTTGTCATCCACAACAACAATATTTGGGGAAATATATCAAATACAGCTCAGAACTACATTTGCTAAATTTTATCGAGATCGGGTCAGATTTATATCTTATTTCCTATATATATCTTTACCCGATTTCAGGTTAATTTGGTGAACCAAATGGGCAATACCAGCCGCCATTGAAAATATACAAATTCTTAGGTATATTTAGTTCCTTGAACTTTTAATTATAATTATAATCAAAGTGGTGTAGGGTTTCATAAAGTCGACCCCGCCCGACTTTATGACTTTCTTTTCCAATTAAATTTAATTGTATGGAAGCAAGAATTCTTACAATACGATAGGTCTGTTGCTGCTTGCTGGATCCCCAATCTGAAAACTGTAACAGTATGGTTACTCATTGCCATAGTATCCTTTCCTTTCATTATACGGTTGAATGTTACCGCGAGAGTCACTTAAACAACATATAATGAAGCATCATACATTATATCGAGATATTTTGAATTAAATAAGAAAAAAACTTCAAAATTAACTAGTCTATCAGACAGTTTTGAACAGAATTCAAGCTCACAGAGGCCATAGCTCAAAACAGCACAAATATCAGAGTTCATTTCATATGAAAAACTTCGGTTGTCTAGGCAAAACAGGAGTTTTTGGGCCAGGCAACATTCACGATGATTCACGATGATTCACATTGGGCGCCACGTACAGAATATCTTTACAGCGTGCGATACAAACATACTTAACTAGCTACTGTATCTATTCAATTGGTTTTGCAACAAATGCAAACATATCTCAGAATATGACAATAGGCAAAGACCAGAACAAAGACGGTCATAGTTCTTCTAACAACAACGACGACGAAATTCTGGGAATTATCGTATTACATTCGTTCGATACATTACATTAAGTTTTAAATTCATGTAAAATTTCATGTTTTTCTCTCGTCGAAGACTAAAAATAATACCTCGACCCAACTGGACGTTCTTTTAGTTGTTTATTTTATATTTTTTTGTCTAAAGTAAATTTGTTTTTTAATACCCTTGTTGAAGGGAGATAGAAGTTTTTTTGAAGGGAGTTTCGATTTTCCCGATCACGAGTTAGGGACCACAGTAATGTAAATTTTTGTTTGTTTGTCCATTTTTAACATTTAAACATATACGCCGACGATATGGAAAGAATTTGATATTAACATCAATCTTTATACCCTACAACACTATGTGTTGGGGGTATTATTTTTACTAGTTTTTGAAAACTTTTCTTTCGAAATATTTTTATTATTATTTAAATATCAAATTTTTTACTCAAATTGTAATATTTTAAAATGCTTTTCTTCTGGATTTTAACATTGTTCACAGTTATTGTTTGATTTTCCTCGTTTTTTTTTCTAATTTTAATTTTCTATGTTGCGGGTGTCATTTGTGTATTAAAAACGTTCCACAATTTTTGTTTTCTTTTCTCAACTTTTTCGTTTTGGCTTATTCTATATTTAGATTTTCAAAAAAAGGAACACACATTTTTTGTTGTCGAAAAAAATTGATTTGTTACAGTAATTTTGACGTTGCGGGTGATTTAATTCAGTTTTTTCCAATATTTTTTTCATAAAATTACATTTTAAATCTTTTTTATATTTATTTTTTCTTAGATCATTTTCAATATTATTTTCCACGTCGAACTTGACCCGATTAAAAATTGTATGTATATATGTATATTAGACGTACCGTATCAGCAAAGGGACTACGAACTGTACCATCTGACAAATACACTTGGGATGCTTCCACCGCCAATTGTCCCCAGATGTCGGTAGACAAATCCATTTTTTTTTCTTTAAAATTTTGTTAAAAAAATAATGAAACGAAAAACTTTTTCCGATATCCGATAAATTCTTATGTAAATTTTTGTCTTTTCTTCTCAAAATTCCCGACCGCAAGCAATCAATACAACACCGTTACTGCCAAAGGAATCTCCAAAAAGAACAAAAAAACACTCTCGAGTGCCGTTGGAGAGCTATTCTAAATTTAGTATCTCTGAGAACATTGAAGAGCAAAGAGCATGGCTACGCATTCTGTTATCAATTTGAGATCACAACAATGCGATTGTTTTTGTTGGTGTTGTTGGAAAAACTTATGCAGTCAGTTAATTTGATAAATAAAATCAGCTGTTTTCAAAAATGTAAGATCAGACGGAAATAAACGGAAAACTGAAAACAAATATTGAAAAACCAAGTGCCTAGTTGTTGTTTAGAAAATCAATGGAATAACATAATGTGAGAAAATGAGAGAAAGGTAATTTTAATTCATAAATACTCACCAATTTCTCTTTGGATACCAAGTTAACGTCATCTCGGCCGCCAATGGCCGATTGGTGGGCTGTCAAAACATTCCAATTATCCATGTTTTAGGGATTTTCAAATTTCGTATTATGGTGTTTTGTGTATTTTTCTTTGCTGGTGCGTGAAAGCAAATTAACTCAAATTCAGTTGGGTTTGTTTTGGATTGTAGTAATTTCGGTTTTTAATTTTTTTTGTTTACTTTTTACAAGAGTTTCGGTTTTATGTGAATTGTAGGTGCAACGAAGCCAAAAAAACTGTATGTGCTAAAGTGACAAATATTTTTTTGTAAGTGTGTTTTTAAATTCCGAATAAAAGATGTGGCTAAGGCCCAAGCTATAAAAATTTAAACTTTTAACAAAGCTTTATATTGCGTTGGGTTTATTCGGGATGTGATGCCTAAAAAAATATTCAACTAGAAAGGTAAATTTGATTGTGTCATTATGAATTATTCTTATAAAACTATAATATTTAGAAAATAATTTTATAAGAATAAACCACAATTCGTAATAACGGATAAAATAAAAATTAGAATAAAATTAACACATTCGCAAAAATAAATACCTATCGTATCGTAATTGAAAGCAAAGTAATTTTAGGGACATCAAGGCAGATAAGTACCATAGATCAAGAACGTTCGTAGGGTGGGGGACTAGGTCTTCCCTGAAATGAGTAATTTTTGCTATTTTTGGTGTATTTAATAAAGTGTTTTGGAAATGCATTTCAAAGTACATTTCTAACGTCGCACTGAGGGGTGAAATCACAAATTGAGAAGATTAATTGAAACTACATTTTTATAGAACACAAATTACTAAGATGAGAAGAAGAAAAACAAGTTAGAGATATGATAATTTCAAAAGTAATAATTTTAATATGGAAAGATCGAATACAGATAGTTATCGGTGTTTAAGAATCAAAAAGTCTTAAAAACAGTGTTGTAAAAATATTTTAAAAATAAATTCGAAAAATGTCCATATTTTCTCCGTATCCGAAAAGTATATGGAATTAAAAAAATCAAGTTAAAAGCTGTTCATACCCTCCACCATTTTGAAAGAGTACAAAAATTTTCAAAAAAAAACCTTAAAAATTTTGTTAAAAATACCAAATGTTATTATTATATTAAGATCTATACGACGACGTGTCATAAGACATTACACTTTACAAATGCGAAACTTGAAAAGAGTTCCGGAATATGAATAATGTCTTTAAAATCATCAAAATGAATATCGGGAGGTACCGTTATATGGTGGCTACACGATGACGTGGACCTACACAGACAATTTTTCTGTCATAGGCTGTAGTATCCATTACGAACTACCAAATTCGAACCAATTCTGGTGAATAATGTCGCTAAAATCATCAAAATACCGAATATCGGGAGGTACCGTTATGTGAGGGCTATACGAAGACGTGGACCTGCACAGACATCTTTCTCTCATAGGCTGCAATATCCATTACGAACTTCAAATACCAAATTTGAAACAATTCCTGTGAATAATGTCGCTAAAATCATCAAAACACCGAATATCAGGAGGTGCCGTTATATGGGGGCTATACGAAGGCGTGGACTTGCACGGACATTTTTCTGTCACAGGCTGTAGTATCCATTACGAACTTCAAATACCAAATTTGAAACATTTTCTATGAATAATGTCGCTTAAATCACCAAAATACCGAAAATTGGGAGGTACCGTTATATGGGCGATATACCCAAACGTGGACCTATATGGCCCATTTTCAATACCAAAAGTACTGCAGACATAATTTACTTTTGAGTAAAATTTTATCAACCTACATCATTTCGTTCGGAAGCACGGACGGACATCGCTAAATCGATATTTATGCTGGCCAAGAATATATACACTTTGTGGGGTCTAAAATGTATATGACGGAATGACAAACTTAATATACCCTCCATACTATGGTGGAGGGTATAAAAAACAAGTAAAAAAAGTAAGTCCGGCCGGGCCAAACTTTGAATATCCTCCGACATTTGGAAGGAATTTCGAAATTAAAAAAAATAAACTTTGAAAATACTGTTCGAAGTCATAAAAATACCGAATACAGGAAGTTACCGTTATATGAAGACGTGGACCTGCATAGGCTATTACGAACTGCAAACACGAGTTTTAAAACAATTCCGTTGAATAAAAATCATCTAAATTCTGAATATAAGGAGTTACCGTTAAATGGGGACTATACGAATGCGTGGATCTGCATACAGAATTTTCTGTCACCGGCTATGGAACGTATTACGAATTGCAAATGCGAAATTTGAAACAATTCCAGCGAATAATGTCGCCAAAATCATTTAAAAAAACCGAATATAGGGAGGTACCGTTATATGGAGCGTATACGAAGACCTGGACCTGCATAGTCTATATTTTCTTATAGCTTGTAGTACAAACACACATCTGAGTAAAACTTTATCAACCTACTTCACTTTTTTTCGGAAGCTAGAGTGATTGCCGACATTGAATTTTATGCTGATCAAAAATCTATATACTTTGTGGGATCAAAAATATATACTCCAAGGTATTAAAACTATGGTGAAGGGTATAAAAAGAGAACAAAATATGAATTAATAAAATCTTTTATGCTTCCTTTGAATTCATCTCTGTTTTAAGATCTCTAACCCCACAGGGCTCAACAGAGACCTACGTTGAACTCAAAAAAATACCTAACACTGGAACAATCTTAGCATGAGGAGGTTATATCTACTCTGCACTCTAAATGTCAACTTACAGACGATTTGGTTTAAAATGATGGTCAAAACATTCTAAATATTTAAATTCGGGAAGTATCAGAGCCATACCGAAACACGGATATTGTGTATATGTACCATTTTTAATATCAAACATCATTGGTGTAATATAGATTGCTGATCAAAATGTCAAATTTGATCTCCATTTTTGCGTCGCTGTGCAACAAGAAGAAGGCGTATGATTGATACAATTTAAATTGTTAGAACAAATCATACGTCCAGTCAATCTCCTTTCTTTTTCTTCTATATCTATAAAAGAGGAAAATGTTTGTGTTTGTTTGTATGTATGTTTGTTTTTTTGTAATTTATGGATTCAAAAATCTAAAAATTTCCAAGGATACTACAACGTAGCCTGAAAGTAACATAGGCTATATACATTTTTGAAATACCACTTGGAACTGGATATATAGCATCAGAATCGGAGGTACCTCTCTAAAATTTCGATTTTATATGCATATATCTATTGATCGATTACAGTTAAAATCTCCAAATTTGGAATGCGTAACGGGATTCGGAACAAAAATAAATTTCCTAAATTATATGGAAATCGGTTCAGATTTAGATATAGCTCCCATATATATTTTCGGCCGATTTTATGTATTTGATACATTAAACAGACTTTGTACGCCACATTTCAATTAAATTTGGAATGTGTGATGGAATTTGTCTAAAAAATGTGTTTGTCAAATTATATTGAAATCGGTACAGATTTGGTGTAGCTCCCATATATATTTTCGACTGATTTCGTATATTGATGCCCCAAACACGATATGTATTATCGATTCCAATGAAATTTGAAATGTGTGACGGGATTTGATTAGAAAATAAATTTGCAAAATTATATTGAAATCGGTTCAGATTTCGATATAGCTCCCATATATATATTCGGCCGATTTACATATTTAGTGCACCAAACACGATACGTATGTCCGATTCCAATGAAATTCGTCATGAGTGGCTAATATTGGTACAAAAATTAATTTGTCAAATTTTATTCAAATCGGTTCAGATTTGGATATAGCACCCACATATATTTTCAGCCGATTTCACACAATTGAAGCATAATTTTTGAATTTGTTTTATTTATTTTTTTTAACCAACAAATATTCATGTATAACATTTTCTCACAAAGCTAAATTTTAGGGACCCATGGTAGAACTGAGTAGGTAAAGTCATGCAATCATATGTTTTCTTTTTTTCAAAATTATTCATTTGACAAGATATAGTCAAAATGTATATTTATAAATCCATTGTACATACACAAATCAGAGATGGGAATCGGCTTTCTATGCAGTGAAATTTGGCAAGGTAAGTTTCAGATAATGTAAAAAATGCTTACTTGGATGCTATCTTCTAATTTGCCATGAGTTGCTCGTTGAAAAAAATATTAATTGCGTACAATATAAATCCATTGTACATACACAAATCAGAGATGGGAATCGGCTTTCTATGCAGTGAAATTCGGCAAGGTAAGTTTCAGATAATGTAAAAAATGCTTACTTGAATGCTATCTTCTAATTTGCCATGAGTTGATCGTTGAAAAAAATATTAATTGCGTACAATAACCCAAAAATTGGAAGTAATTTTTACAAAATATTGTTCGATAATCCAAAAGTCCAGTAAAGAAGTTATCTCAGTTCCATTTGTGTTTAAAAAACAGCGAACTACCTCTGATACCTCCCCCAGAAGAGGTCAAAATTTTGTATAATCTTAAGTCTCTAACATGTAATTTCTATCAACCATAAATCCAATGTAAATATGGAAAAGAATCCAACAGACATCTAGCATATTTTTCTCTGAGACAAACTAGCAAAAACGTTCATTGCAAAATAATAGGTATCCTAATTCATTTTTGAGAGTAACCCATTATTTTACTGTCACTAGTATGCCAGAAGATATTTTGTTTACATTATGTTTATACCCTCAATTATATGGCTACAAAGGGGATATATCATTTGATACGGCCAAAACGTGTCTCATCGAAATAACTGTTTTAGACCCTAGGTCTCTTTGGACCAAATCCGTTTCATTTGGAGTCAATCTAGCGATGTCCGTCCGCCTTTCTATCTGTCTAGCTGGCTGGTGCGCACGATAACTCTCGAAGGGAGTATCCGATTTGATCCAAAGTTGGTACATCGTAATATTATAGTCAAACTTAGATCGAGTTTGCAGATGGACAATATCGGTCCACTCCTTCTGGTACATCCCACACAAAATGTCAAAATTTTCAAAGAAAATAATTTATTGCACAGAAAGAGAAAGGATAATCCTATTTAGCTCCAACTTTGCGAATCCTAATATTTTCATCAGTGCTAGGTCAGGTGCGAACAATATCGGTCCACTCCATCAGGTATCTCCCCTACAAAGAGTCAACATTTTGAATAATTACAACTCTTATAAAATGTGATGTATGAGTCCGATAGTCTTAATATCTCACGCATCACAATAATATTGTTAACCCAAGATCTGGTTTGAAAATGGAATGTATCGGTCCACTCCCTGTGGTACCTCCCACACAAAATGTCGAAATTTTCAAAAAAATATATTTTCTGCACAGAGAAGAAAAGATAATCCGATTTTGTTCCAACTTTGCAAGTCCTAGTATTTGTGTCAGTGACACGTCAGGTGCGAAATGGTCAATATCGGTCAAGTCCATCAAGTACCTCCCCAGCTATGGGTCAAAACTTTGAATAACTACAACTGTTATAAATTGTGATGAAAGAGTCCAATTATCTTGAAATTTCATACATCCCAATATTTTTATCAACCCAAGGTCTGGTGTTAATATGGAATATATCGGTCCGTTCCTTTTGGTAGCTCCCCCACAAAAGTTCGAAATTTTCAAAAAATATTTTTTGCGCAGAAAAAGAAGGGAAACCTGATTTTGCTCCAACTTTGCAAGTTCTAATATTTCTATCAGTGCTATGTAAAGTGCGAAAATGGACAATATCGGTCCACTCCATCAAGTACTTCCCCCACAAAGGTTCAAAATTTTGAATACTTCCAACTCTTATAAAATTTGATTTAAGAGTCTGATTGTCTTCAATTTTCACACATCGCAATAATTTTATTAACCCAAGGTCTGCAGCCAAGATGGAATACATCAGTCAACTTCTTCTGGTAGCTCCCCATAATAGATCGAAATTTTCAAAAAAAAAAAGAAAAAAAAAAGATTTTCTGCACAAAAAGTGAACCAATAATTCGATTTTGCTCCAACTTTGAAAATCCTAATATTTGCGTCAGTTCTAGGTCAGGTACAAAAATTAATAATATCGGTCCACTCCATCAACTGCCTCCCCCACAAAGGGTAAAAATTTTGAATATTTGTAACTCCTATAAAATGTGATGTAAGAATCCGGATCTATTTTTCTCCATTACTGCAAGGCCGCTACGGCTGAACCCTAGTTGACCTTCTCGACATCAAATTTTATTACTGGCAGTGAATCAAATCCCATCTCACATGCCCAAATCGGCTATAAACTAACTCGTATAAAATGTTTTCGTCAGAAAATATAACATTGTTGATATTTATTTGTTGGAACACCGAAATTAAAATTTAAAATCTGTCAATGAAAAAGCTTCCAAGTCCACTTAAACCATGCATATAATATGGTCATTGTTTATTTTCTCACGCTAAGCAAGCAAAAAATTTGTTGAATCATTTTCGATCATGCCGGCTCCCAAAAAAGAAAAGGCACTACTGTGCCACCGATTGGCACAGACAATTTGTTTGCGTTTTGTTATTCCTCGGGACGCTGGGGGAGATCGGAAAATTACAAAACAAACAAATTACACCAAAAGGAATGTCCATTACATGAAAAATTATTGTACCACAAATTCTCTTCGAAAATTTGTGAATTTTCAAGTTTTTTGGCGAGGCTCTCCTTTTCTCTGCGTGGTGTTGGTAGTGGTGATCCATCAAATTCAATAAACTTTTCATTTTCATCGTTGGAAACGAGAAAAGCAAAGCAAGTCAAGTGTGCCGTGCCACATGCTTCTTTCGGTTTTTCTTGGTTGATGGTGATCTGTTTTTCTTTTATTTTTCGCCATTGGATGGATGGGGAGGCTGCTAACCAAGCACCCAAAAGACATGAAAACAAACTCTACATATTTTTTGCATTGGCAAGGGCAGCAGCGTTGGACATCAAAAAAAAAAGAAAGACAACTATTGCGAATGTATGTGTGGTTGTTTTATTAAATTATTTTCATATTTACCCATTTTGTTTTTGGATTAGTTAGTTAGAATTGTTTAAATTTATTTTGAAATATTTATGTGATGTAGAAAAATAAGTTATTAAATGGCTTTTTGTTACATTTTTCCACAATTCTTTGACGATTTTTTTTGCTTGAGCTGCTGCTAAAAATAATGAATTTCAAGGGGTTTCATTTAGCTTATTCTGGGTTAAATTTTATTTTCTTCATTGATTTTCATTACATTTCAATACCTTTTTCTTTGGATTTTATTAATTATTTCATAATTTGAATTTATTTTTCTGAAAATATTTTCCACTTTCACCAAGACCTTTATTGAATACCTAGACCTTGCATAAGATTACTATAATTTTTCTTGATCTAGATATTGAGGTCTGTTTTTTTCTTGTGTAGTTGTTAGTATCCACTCGATCCGCCGCGTTATCTGGTTAGTGTACTATGTTAACGTTCTCACTGCAATTCCCGTACTGAACTGAATTTAAAACATTTCGAACATTTTTGGCCGAAACAGCGGCATTACGAAGAAAACATATTTCCGTTGTAAGACCCAACAACATTTGTTTCTGGTATGTGTCTGCACCAGATCATCATCTCTCATATGAGTACTTGTAGTATGTACGCCATTAAGTACAATTTGTTATATGAGCCATTTCACGTTAAATTAGCTGGGGCGCATTATTGATAAGGGGAAAATGAATCTCTCGATATTTCGGAAATTAAAACAAGTAAAAAAGAAGCTAAGTTCAGCCGGGTCGAACTTTTAATACCATCCACCATTTTGAAAAATTAAAAAATTAAAAAAAAAAAAATTCCCAAAACTACCACTTAAATGAAAACCGTTATATGGGACTATACGAAGACGTGGACCTGTATACGAAGTTTTTTGTCATAGGCTGTAGTGTCCATTACGAACTTCAAATACAAAATTTGAAATAATTCCAGTAAATAATATCGTTAAAATCATGAAAATACCGAATATAGGGAGGTATCGTTATATGGGGGCTAATCGAAGACTTGAACCTGCATACAGAAATTTTTGTCATAGGCTGTAGTACCCATTAGGATCTTCCAGTACGAAATTTGAATCGATTCCGGTGAATAATGTCGCTAAAATAGTCAAAATACCGAATATCGGGAGGTACCGTTATATGGGCGTTGTACGAAGACTTGGACCAGCATACAAACATTTTTGTCATGGGCTGAAGTACCGAACTTCAAATACGAAATTTTAAATAATCCCGGTAAATAATATCGCTAAAATCATGAAAATACCGAATATCGGAAAATACCGGACTATACGAAAACGTGGACCGACATGGCCAATTTACGAACTTAAACTGCCTACTGGTAAACTATGCATGCATGCAAAATTTTAGCCTTCTATCTCAATTCTTTCGAAAAATAGCGTAATTACAACAGACAGACAGACGGACGTCGCTAGATCGTCTTAAAATTTTCGGCTGATCATATTCGTAGGATCTATTATGAATATTTCGAGGAGTTACAAACAGAATGACAAAATTATAATAACCTCCATAGAATGGTGGAGGGTATAAAAATGGCATAAATTTCACACAAACAAACGACAAATTTCAGATTCAGTGTGAAAACGATGAAGTAAACAGATTGGGAGAGTCGATTTGATGTAGTTGGGACATGTAACTCGTATGTGTCTAAGGGTTTCCCTGAAGCATTGAAACCCATTCCAAAATTAAACCACTTTCGAAGTTTCAAAATTTAACATTTTGGTCTGGACTTGGATGGATCACATAATGAGTTCATTTCTTATTTGGACTTGGATAAATCACGTCGGGTCATATAATCTTTGTATTTCATGTTTAATATGTGGAACTTCCTTTCTAAAGCCGAATGTAAACACCTTTAAAATTTGGGCGTTTTGATTTCGGTTTGGATGAATTATTTTAGGTAATTACACTCACTGACCGAGGTCAAGGTTTCCAAGAAACCAAAACCATCTTTGCTGGTCTAAAAGGAAGAAAAAGTATAAAATCATTTGAAATACACACTTCTTACCTCCCTTACTTTTGTCAGTTGGTACAATTGATGAGATATTCCCTGTTTTATGACATTACCAAAAAACTGACTTTCTCTGAAAAAATTAGAATTATTAAATTGTTTTGCTGGTAGAAACTTTGTTCAACTTACAATAATATATTTGTTAATGATCCTGCAAAATCGGTATTAGCCCCAAACATATTCAAAGCCTTAATAAGAGTATTCATTGTTTCAGGTTTTCCCAGATCAATGCTTTTCTTAAGCAAAAATGTTACCCGGATGAATTATTTTAGGTCACTAAATGAATCTATTACTATTTTAAACTCGGATAAATCATGTCGAGTCGCATTATGTCTGTCCTTCCCTAAAGTCATGAAATCCCATTATAAATTTAAACACTTTTGAAATGACAAAATTTTGATTATTTTGGTCTACGCTTGGATGGATGATATAATGGGTCCATTTCTTATTTATACTTGGGTTAATCACGTCGCGTCATAAAATGTGTGTCTTTCATGGTTGGTATGTGGAACTCCTTCTCAAAATCCGTGAAATTCCATTTCCAAATGTAAACAATTTTAAATTTGGGCGTTTTGATCTGGGTTTGGATGAATTATTTTAGGTCACTTAATGGCTCTATTACTAGTTTGAACTTGGATAAATCCTGTCGGGTCACATAATGTGAGTATTTCAGTTTCAGACAATTCCATTGCAAATTGCCCAAATGTTTTGCATCTTAGCCAAACAGCCAACCCGGTATGATGAGCAAAATTTTGAATTTCTTACATTTTGTTGTTGCTTGTTCCTTTGTTTCAAACTCAATATACAATGTAGGTATTTGAATTGACTACTAGCAGATTTTCAAATTGCTCTTATATGTATTTTTGCAAGTATGTCTATGAGTAAATAAAGTACAAAAAACCACACACACACACTTGCAGATATTTGTAAACAAACAATTGGGATGAATTCTGCCGTTGGCTATTAAACTATTTGTTGAAAAATCGCTATGAATGAAAAATGTGTCGTATTTAAAATAAACAGTGGTCACTATTAGTTAAATGGTGGTGTGAAAAATTAGTTTTAAAATAACGTCTAAGATGTGATGATGACTTTCCACAAGAAATCCATTTTTTTTTGTTTTTCATGAACATCTTTACAAACATTTATTTTGAATAAAGTTTTGTTTTCACTCAATTCTTAAATATCTACCGAATTCTAAATATATTCTAATATTTAATTATAATAATAATCACACATTAAATTGTAACAGAGTATAAAAAATATAGCGAGAGAGAGAGAGAAAGCTTGAGAGATATATGAAATTAAAAACCATTACGACATCTGGCCAAAATAGCTTCCATTATCATTTGAAACCATTCGGTCGAATATGTCGAATAGTCCGCAGTCCGAAAGAGATTAACCTTAGCTTCAGTACTTATTGTTGAACACAAATAATAATTTATGGCCATCTCTGTCAATTCCACATGATAGTTTTTCATCGACCATTCCAGGACATTTAAACAATTGGTTTCATCCAACAAAGCAATCAATAGGTCCAATACAAATTGCTCCATTTCGGGTATAATATAGACGCGCGACATTTCAAAAGCTTCCAATAGGGCATGATATTGATTAACAGGTGGTATATTGTATTTTTGCTTCTTCGATTGCCTCACAATCAGATTGAGGAAATAACGTAGACCGCTCACAGTATAGTTGCGCAAATGTATTTCACCTTCGTTACCCTCACGAAAGTCACTGTTTAACATTGTATTGAAAACTTCACTGGTCGAACAAAGCATGGCCTTATTAAAAGCAACGGCAGTGGTTGTTTCTGCATTGTCATCGGCAGCAATGCCATTGGAATTTTCATTTTCCTTATTGTGTGGTGCATGTACCACAAAACGCATATCACAGTCCTCTTTCTGTAGAGATTGTCCGGCATTCTCCACAAATTCTTCATATTCATCTAAGCGTTTTTCCACATCTAATTGTGGCACATGGATACCCAATGTATAGCGCGACATACAGGTCAGGGAGTCCACTGCCTCAGCAGTAAATTCATCATCTTTTGCACTTAATATGATACCCAAAAGTAATGTCAAGGCATTGCCATCGTTAAGGAATTGATACAGCAATGGTTTACTTCTAATTAAATAGCCCACAGTAATGGCAGCACGTTTTTGTGATATAACATCATCGCTGCGCAGCAAACGGGCCAATTCTTCCTTGCCATAATTACACTCACTGACCGAGGTCAAGGTTTCCAAGAAACCAAAACCATCTTTGCTGGTCTAAAAACAAGAAAAAGTAAAAAAACAATTGAAATAATTATTTTATAAAACTATGTATTCACTTCATACCTCCTTTACTTTTGTCAGTTGGTATAATTGATGAGATATTCCCTGTTTTATGACATTACCAAAAAACTGACTTTCTCTGGAAAAATATAATTTTTTAATTGTTTCTACCAGTAACTTTATACAACTTACAATAATATATTTGTTAATGATCCTGCAAAATCGGTATTAGCCCCAAACATATTCAAAGCCTTAATAAGAGTATTCATTGTTTCAGGTTTTCCTAGATCAATGCTTTTCTTAAGCAAAAATGTTACCCGGAAAAGCAAATTGTCAATAACATCAATGGTATTGTGGGGCAGATGTCCCAATTGTGGCAATTTGAGGGCAGGTACATCTACAAAATAAAAAATAAAATTTAAAAAGTAATAAAGAATAAAATAAATTTTAAATGTATTTGTCGATTTTTATCAAAATATTTGAGCGACTGTTAGATATATCTTTTTTATTCTACCCAGAAGTGCATATATTTCAACGGCATAAAGCTTTGATTCCAATCCAGCCATAATTTCGTTAAGGAAATTTTAATTTAAATCTTGCTTCTGCAACAAATTTTTTACTTAATTTTGGATGTTTAAATCATTGAAAAACTCCTTCAATTCCCACTTAATTTTGACGGTTAATATCATTGAAAAGGCACTTCCTTCACATCTCTTCCGCACCCAACTATTATTAAAACATTTTCTCACCTTGGCTAACTTCTTCTTCATCCTCTATTAGAATACTGTCTTCTTCTGAACGAGCTGCCAAATCTAAAAGATTCATTATTATTGTGTGATCATTGCTATTAGCATTGGGATTATTGTAGAGATGGCTGGAGGTGTCTCTGGCGGGTTCATTTTCTTCATCGTCGTCTTCTTCATCGCTGCAGACAGGTGAATAGGACTCTTCATCGGAATCACCTTTAAAAGCAAGAATAGTTTTAATCTATCAAATCGGCATATTAATATTTCCTACCATTGTTTGGTTTATACACATGACCGCCACTGACTGGTGACATGCTGCGTGAACTGCAAGGACTTGATGGGATATTGTACGATCGAGGTGAACTACTGGGTGAATCACTGTCCAAATAGTTTTCCTCTCGCACTTTGGCAAACTTAAAAAAAACAAACAAAAAATAGTGTTATAAGTTATCTGTTCTCAAGATATTTTGATTACCTTGCATTTGGATTCTTTAACGAGTTCTGGTAGCTTTCTTTTCTTGCTTTCCGATTGCAGTTTTTCTTCCCGTTTCTTTTTGTAATATTCCTCGTCACTTGTCAAATAATTGTTAAGCTCTTTGACAAGAACTAAGACCAGACCTTCACGCATCATTAAATCCATGCTCATATTATCATATTGGAAGTTTATTAGGACATTCAAAATCTGTAAAGAAACAAAAAAATGTGAGTTTTCCATATCAACTGTTTTCAAATGATTTACTTACAGAAGCCTTTTCTGCCGGTGACACTGTATCCTTAATCATAACTATGAATTTCCTAAGGGCTCCCGATCGCCTTATCTTGGAACGATTACAGGCATCCGTAGACAGTATGCTGATAATATGAATACAATGTCTACGTTCACTTTCGCTGAGATCTTCGTCGGCCACCAAAAGTTCACAAGCTGCCAAAATAGCATCAGCCGAACTTAAAATATAAAATGCTCCCTGATTCTTAGATAAATTCGAGAGTATTTTAAGAGCTGCACTACGATGTTTACTTTTCTTTTCGTCCGTAATAAAGTGAACAATGGGCGCTAGAGTGCAGTGAGCACGATTTAATGAATCCCACACCAATGAATTTATTTGCAACTCCGAAATAACCAGAAGACATTTTAAAATTTCACAAACCAAGTCCAAAGCTGCCTGCTCTTGAGGTATAATATAGGCATTGGAAGTGCGTGTGGAGTTTTTCAAAACCTCATGATCGAATATATCACTACGAACACCCTCCAAGTTACGGGCAACTTCCTCGAAGTATTTTTCACGATGTTGATTGCGTTTAAGGCCCACCTTCAACTGGGCTTGTGCATCACACAACAATTTTTCCTCGGTATCTGTATTCGATTCGTTTTTCATTATAGCGCTCAGTATCCGCAATAGTATGGTAAAACCTGAGGATTGCAGAAAGTGTTTCAAAAACTGAGGGTTGGACAAAAGGAAACGACAAGAACGAAAAGCCATCATGCGTGTCTGTACATCAGAAGTGTCCTCAATGATGCGACACAAAGCTTGGGCTATAGCAGGACAATGGGTAGACAGTAATTGGTTGGTATCCACTTTGGCCAAATTGCCAAGGAGACGGCAAGCCCTGCATTGTATTACCGGATTGGGTATGGATTTCAAAATAGTGGCCAATGGTATGGCAATTTTATTTTCCAGAGCCTAAAAAGAATAAGAAAACATTAAAAATTTCTTCTACTCCCCCCCTCCCCCTCTTTGTAATCAACACTTACCTCCCTACAACTTTGTTCATCTGTACAACAATTACCCATTATCGACAAGGCCACTTCCAATATCTTTTCATGGGGTTTACTTAGAAATCTAACCATCGGAGCAACTCCACCCGCTTCCCGAAACAAAATAATACCATTTTTATCTTTGACCACATCTGTACGCAATTTCGTAAGGCCCTTAACAATGACTGCCTTGTCCGTCGATGTCTTTATGACGCCCAATATATTTTCCACCAATTGGCGATTCATAATGACCACGGAAGTTGGACTAATTCATTTAGACTTTTAAAAATATTTGTAAAAATAAAATTTTCTTCAAGGAAAAATAGATATTTTTTGCAAAAATCCTAGCTTCTTCTTCGACACTTTTTACCAATTCATTCACGTTGAATGGCTGACACAGTTGTTGTTTAAGTGTACAGTTAGTGGCGTAACGTAACGTAGCGTCGAAGTGAACATTGGCGGTATTTTTTAAATATTTATTAAATTATATGTTAAATGCGATATTAAATAAGGATATAAATAGAGGAGGATATCAACGATTAATAAATTTAATCATAAATTATATGCAATGAATATCCTATGGAATAAAGAATGGGAAACAAGATAATATGTCTTATAAATAAGTATGTATTCAGTGATATACTCCTAAAAAACAATTAAAGGAAAAATTACAGCTAAAGCCGTCTAGTATTTGACAACATTTATATGACTGAGACAATTTAATGGAACCAATATTACGAAATATTTTAATATTGCGGTTTAATTGGAAAATAATGTAGAAAAGTGTGGGTTAACTTTTGGCATAAAAGGATCCCTTTAAGACATTTGCGGATGACCATTTACAACCGGTAGTGGTACATCACAAATATTATACCATTAGACAACTATCAAATCTGTAAATGTATTCTCTATTGGAAATTTATTGAATAGTAATAATTTCCACGAAATATTAAATGACCTTTACATTATGATTATGACTCAATATAGACTGTTTCTCAAATCTTGTTTTATTATCTTTTTATTAGCATCTATATTGTAAAGCACTAATTGATATGCCTCTGTGGTGGATCCAACAGATTTTGCTAATTATGCAGAGACAAAGTTGTAAAATATTTTTATCCAAATCCAAAAATTTCCCTCGATGGGGATTTTTTCCGTTGTGAAAACCAAAATGATCTCTTGTCTGTAGCCATATGGCTAGGAGCAAAATGTGTCCCAAGTGTCTTTGGGCGATATCCGTTTTGAGACACTTGGAGTCGATCTAGCAAAGTTAGACTGTATGTGCATACGATAAATGTCGTATCCGATTTCATCCAAATTTGGTATGTCGTACTATTTTTATCAAACTAATGTTGAGTTCAGAGATATGCATAATCGGCCTACTCCTGCTGGTGGTTTTCTCAAAAAAGTACAATATAGTGGACTGGGTTTTTAAAAAATCGTTCTAATTGGAATGAGATAGAATTCTGAAAATTGGAAAAGTCTTAGAATTCTGATGGAGTGAAGAATAGAGGCACTAAATATTTTTTTTGGAAATTCGAACTTAAATGATACGATAAGTTCTGAAATGGTACTAAGCTTCTAAAATGGAATCATTTTGGAACAAATTGAACTAAAAAATTGTGGTATGAGAATCAAGGTTGGAAATTAATTTTGATATATGAAGGTAGTTTTGAAAATGTGTACTACAAGTGCATGAAACATACTTAATAGTACTATATTTGCTACACCTCGATATTGGGTGAACAAATAGTGCTTGAAATTTTGTATCAGGGTCGCTGTTCATGTATAGCCTGGATATATGGAGGTGATAGAAATACAATTCTGAAATTTGAATTATAAGGTTACTGATTGTATCTATGTTTGAGATTTGATGCTAGTTTGGATATACGTCCTATATTGGTACGAAACATACGAAATGCGAAATGGTACTAAATTTGGTATTGAGTGAAGGAATAGGGCTGGAGTGCCAAACATTGAGGTTTCTGTTGGTATATGTGGTTAAGATATGGCAGTGGGTTTGGAAATGTGTACTATAATTGTTTAAAAAGTACTAAATAGTACTAATTTCGGACTACTGTTGGTGTCTAGAATGGAGATATGAAGATTGTTTTGGATATGAGTACTAAATATTACTAAATTTGGTATTGGGTATATGTGAAATGCTGAAATTTGGTATCGGGTTCATTGTTGGTGTCTATGGTGGAGAGATGTAGGAGGTTGTTTTGGGTATGCCTAGTATTAGCGTACGAAAAGTTTGGTAATAAATTTAAGATTAGTTCTTAGGAAGGGAGCTGGAGTTTTGATATTAGGTATGGAGGCCACATTTGATGTATAGTTATTTTGGTATATACTTTGGGAATGCGTACTATGATTGTACAAAAAGTACTAAATGTTAATAAATTTGATATTGAGTGAGGGGATAGAGCTGAAATTTTGAAATTTGATATTGAGGTTTATGTTCGAATCTGGTTTTGCAAATGCGTACTATAATTGTTCGAAAAGTACTTGTACTGGATTACTGTTGGTGTCTAGGATGGAGAGATGTAGATTGTTTTGGATATGCGTACTAAATGTTACTAAATTTGGTATTGAGTGAGGGGATAGAGCTGGTATTCTGGTATTCTGATATTCTGACATTTGCTATTGAGGTCTCTCTTGGTTTCTTGGCTTTACATACGAAAACTTTTAAATAGTTTTGGACTGGAAAATTGGCAATGTGTCCATTTTGTAATGATTTTACTAATATCCTCCTCGGTGAACTTCAAAATGAAAAATTTAAAGACTTATGGTGTAAAAGGTAAACATTTTCATATCATTCTTACCGAAAAGTTAAAAACTTGAAAGCCTGAGAATTGAGAACGTTATATGAAGTTTTGGGTTAAAAAAATTGTCAAACTGAATAAATTGTGCATTTTAGTACTAAACATGACAAACAAAAAAGGTTGAAACGAATTTAAATTTTTAAGGTGGAATTTTCGCTGGCTAATTACTGGGCTCTTGCTAGTATCGTAATATTTAGATGGGACTTAGTTAAGGTTAGAATATGGACTATATTGGCTCACTCATTTTTTTTACATTCCCCATAAAAAAACTTAGGATCGAGGTAATATTTTCTTATAAAATTTAGCTTAGAAATAAAATGTTTCCCATAGCTTTTCACAAAAGATCTACATTTGAATACCAATAACTTTCGAATAATCCAATGTTCTTCAAACGCTTCACATCCTTTTTTTACTCGATTTTAATATACCCATATCTCAGCAGACGTTATTGAGTACATTTTACCTGAAAGTTACCGTACAGATCTATTAATCACATCAGAGCAATATTCTTTTTATTGTAATTTTAAATCCCAAATATTATTTAATCAACATTATTTAGCGGAAATGTTTAGAACAGGTTTAGAATGATTGAGAAATTGATTGCGTTTTTTGTCTTATGTTATTATTATTAAAATATATATATTTTCTGTTTTATATTGTTTACATTTTGAAAAAAATTATAGCTTTGTTCCTTTGCTTGCGAGAATCTTTCACTTTTACCTGGTTTGTAACTTTTTACTATAAAACCGTTCCCTTACATACTTTTCATCAAAAACTTGCAGTAAAATTAAGGAGAGTGCTATCTAAGATGGATTGCTCTTTTACTGAAGCCATGTTGCCAGCCTCTGATTGATTGATTGATTGATACGTTAATTTTAAATGATTTTCATTTAGTTCTGACATTTCTAATAGTATTCCATTGTATTAAGCTCTAGCTAAAATTGTTCTCTGAGAGTGAGTTTCACATTTCGCTCTTTTACTGGCGTTATCATTAAAATAAGTAAAGGAACAAAGCTAATACTGACAGAAAGTACGTAAATGAAATATTTTTTTTTATTTTGGAATAATTTCGAAAGTGCTGTTTACGAAAAGGAATTTTTTAAAAATCAAAATGTTACAAATTAAACAGTATTGTTAATTCAATTAATATGTACGTTAATATATGAACGTGTAACAATTAAACGAAATTACGCAAATACAAATCGTCGCAATAACACATGCGACATGAGATGACATTCTTTCTTAATTTAGCGTTATTTGAACTTGAATCTAATTTTAAAATATTTTTTATTGGAATTTTGATATTGATCGCCAATCAAATGGCTAACGTTGTAAATAATGATTATTATTCTCTCATTGTTTTTAGGTTTGGCTATTTTTAGGTTAGGTTATTTATTAAAAATTGGATTTGATTTTAAATTAAACGGCAATTCTAGATAATTCGAAAATGTATTTTCTTATTAAAGTATTGTATGAAATTGAATCTTTTTTTAAATTAATTGTATTATTTATACTCTAATTTTTTAAGATTTATTCTGAATCGAAGAATTTATTTAAATATTGTTTTGATTGCGATTCAAAAAAGGTAATTCGCGATTATTCTGAGAGCTATATACCTTTTTGTTTTCATTAATGATTTTTACTTTCATTTTCAAGGTTTTATTTATCGAAATATTTATTTATTAATCGAAATATTGGGATTCAATTGCGATTTACGATTCAAAAAGTTAATTCTAGATAATTCGAAAATTCTTTCTCACTTTAGCATTATTTAAATTTGGAACTTATTTTGATTTATGTTGTATTATTTTGTTGTAAATTGGGTTGTTAATGATTTTTACACTCATTTTTTACAAAAAAATCTGAACCAAAGAATTTTTTTAAAATATTGTTTTGCCTTTTCGATTATTCTGAGGGGTAACAAACGTTTTGTTCTCACTTGCAAAGTATATATAATCTTGGCCATATCAGATGTATTTTGGCTCCGTGGGATTTTTGATACTGAAAATTGGTCAAATTTGGTATAGCCCCCATATAACATTACTGGAAGATTTAATGGGTTTAATGGGTTGTACCACAATATTAAACCGAATTTGCTGAAAATGAACAGTGTGTGTTTCCACTTTCTAAGGACTATCCTTGCACAGAATTATCTGTAAAGGTCCAAGCTTTGGAATAGTCCCCATATAAGTGTACCTCCCGATATTTGGAATTTTGATGATTAGTGTGACAAAATTAACTGAAATTGTTTCAAATTTGAAATTTGGAGCTCAAAATTAAAATTTGGTATTTGGTAATATCCTGCTGCTAGTCTGCTTTCTATAGCAAATAATTGGCTGACATCTTCGTATCGCCCCATATATCTGCACCTCCCAATATTCTATAATTTTATGATTGTAGCTAAATTTTTCACCGAAATTTGGTATTTGAAGTTCGTAATGGATATTACCTCCTATGACAGAAAATTTTCTAAACAGGTCTACGTGTTCGCATAACCTCCATATACTTGTACCTCATCATGTTCGTTTTTTTGATAATTTTAGCCACATTTTAGACCGAAAT